TTTATATAAAATTGCTCTTATATTATGACTAGTATTAGGTAATGTATTCTTAGTAGACCCACCCACCAGTTGTGACGCGAGAAATGGTCATGGCAGGTGACAAATTGACCACGCCCGGAAAGCGTCAGACGCACGCCACCATGAGCCGTCATCGGAGGCTACCCCGCGGAACAAGAAAATAATTACCAAGAAAACTCGTGATATCATTGCTCATGTGTCTATTTTTATTCCGCTCATTCCGACTGACGCTACGGCTCCTGTTCATACAGTTCCTCGTCCTCACTCGGCCACTCCACCCGGAAAACGACGTCATCCGGATCGTCGGTGCCATCCTGCAGCATGAAAGCCACCAGACTGTTGTGTTTAAGACCGCACTTGGTTGGCGTAAAATCTTCATCCGAACCTACATTGAGCCGTTTCCAGCCACGGGCAGGATCGTTGTGCCTATTTAAAACGCCGTAGACAAATTTGGGTTGTGCGGGGATCTCCGTTGTCGTGGGCGGCTCGAGACTGGTTGTGAGCCCACCAGGATAACGGTCGCGCAAGATAGCAGCGAGTTCGCTGCTGATGTCTGAAAAGGGAGCCTGCGACTCGACAAAGAGGTAAATGATATGCACCCCATGCCTGAAGCGCACCGAGATGTGCGAGTCGTCTATCTCCGCCTGTTGCCTTGCACATTAGCGGGCGTGAGTGAAAGAGTACGCGAATGGCCAAAAAGCTGGGCGCTACGTACCATGTTGTGCGATGTGGACTGTGATTGGAACAGGTGAAAGTTTGTTGCTCAGCAGGGATAAATGATGACTTCGCGCCGATTGCCGTTCACTCACTTCGAACAGTAAAAAGTAGTGTTTGCGCTGTGCAGAGCTTCCAGTCCGCGTTAATTGGCGACACGAAGTCACGTGTTTCCGCGCAAAAGCTCAGCAGCCCTGCTTAACTGCACAACCCAGCGATTCGCCCTACACCGATGAGGTAGAGTTTCACGAGGCAAGGCTATAAAAGCTTGTGCAACGGCGATCCTTGGCTTATTCAGAAGTGATTTCTTGTGATACCGGGGTACAGCCTCGAGATAAGCTGCCTGACGTGTCCTACATTGTTACCGCAAGGGGGGGTTTCCAGCTACGCAGCCTGCATCAAGGATTTCGAAGAACGCAAGGAGATTCGAGACACAGCTCCGGTACCGCTCTGCAACGACTGCTTGCAGGTGCGTTGCGAGTTCGCGACCCGACCCAGGACCAGCAGCGTCCATCAGCTGGCAAATTGAAAGGCACCTGGCTTATGAAAAGCAGAAGAGAGCACACAATGATGGCATCCAACGCAGAGACCGGAAACGACGCATTTGCATCGCTGTCTCGAGGCGGAAAGCCAGATCAGAAGACGACAGCAATGGCGACGACATCAACGTGTCCAGAGATGCTGCCCGCGTCCTCGGACGCAATGCGCCTGTCCATGCTGGCGCCGACACGACTGCTGCTTGGATCGCTAGCGTCGACCATGATTGGGTTCATGCTGGGGGGTTTCCAGGGAGGACAAATGGCACAGCTACGATTCCGCGCGGAGCACGCTCACAAAATGCCAGACACAACGACGGGCTGGTATTTCTACCACAAGTCGAAGAACTACCATGCGATGCAAGGTGGAATTCGCGAGGGTTTTCGGATGGGGGCCAAGACGGGGTTTTGGAGCTTTGCGGCACTCAGCCTGGAGACGACGGTCGATCGCTTGCGCGGAAGCAGCGACATGCTGTCGACAATAGTAGCAACAGTGTCTGTTGCGGGCATGTTTTCTTTAACACGTAAGTGACTTCATCCGCTCTGCTGCCCCTCTTTCCCCGTTGTCGCGAAGTTTCAGTAGGTCATGCGTGACCATTCGCACAACATGGGGTGTGAAATTTGGCGCCGTGATGTGTGGGGACCGTCTTTTTGCTGTGAACGGCGATTCGCGGTAGACTGGAGCGAGTGACGACACAAAAAAGGCCTGGCTGACACTTTTTTTTTTTTGGCATCAGATCGATTTTCGTTATCAGCAGCGGCACGCACCGCGCGATACGGGCTATTGTTCGGGATTGTTTACGGAGGTGTACAAGACTTATCAGCGTTAGCCCGTGGGCGGCCGGTTAGTTACGTCGAGGCCATCCGACGTCGGTTGTAAGCGTGGGTCCGACCCCATGGGCTTTGGGGGTGGTGTCGGAAAAGACCTCCGACTGCGCCAGGCCGGCCTCCGAAAGGGTTCCGAGAAGTTGTCCCGAAAGGGCCGCGACCATGCTCTGGCAGGCATGCAACCAACCACAACCAAGCACCGCCAAGCACTAAGGCGGCTGGGTCTCGCACAGCCAGGCGACCAGGGTCTGCAGGAGCCTGCCGGCGCCCCCCATCCGAGATCCCCATCGCCTACATCGGCGCAGAAAAAGCCCAAAGCGGACTGTTTCTGGCACCTGCTGCATACTCGCCCGCCTAGCGGCCCCCGCTTTCAAGTCACCTGGCCCAGGACGCTGGAAAAGACCTAAACTCCAAAGTCCGGTTTTCACGATAGTTTGTTTTTTGTTGCTGGCTGTGCTGCGACGACACCCCCCCTTTCTGCACCACCAATTCTCCGTCCGGGGTAAGGGCTACACACACCTTCTCTCGACTCCACTATCAATCATTTGAAGCGACTTCAAATTTTCAGTTAACCTTCGCCTATTCTTGTATTGCACTGTATCAGTATTATATAAAATTGCTTTTCGTGGGCTGCTTCCGGCTCGTCGTAGCAATCATAAGCTAAGATTGTCGTGAGACGCATGTCTAGTCCTTGCGAAACGTGCCCCCGCCCCAGAATTGCAACTCAGCACCGCTTGTCTTGGACTGTGAACACGTCGCAGGGAGGGCTGGGGCTGTTACGAGTATTGGGTAACACGAATGATCTGACAAGAAGGAGGGCCTGCCAGCTCGAGGTTTTCCACAGCGTGCGTGCCTGTGAGTTGTGGTTTACGATGGTACCTCTGAAGGCTAGTGAGCGCCGCATTTGCTAAGAGAGCATCTTTCAATTACGCACGCGTAATCATTTCATAACAAGAGTAGCGCTAAAGAGAGGGGAAAGGATCGAAACGGGATAAAAGCGCTTCGGGAATACTGAGTAGAACAAGATAGCCAAGTTTGTACAAAGTGATGCGCTGTCAAAAAAACAAGGTGAAACTATACTCGACTCCCTCCTGAGCTTAACCTTTTTCTTATCTTTGTTCAACCCACCTCGTACAGCTCTTTACCGCTGAACTACCAGGACACACAGGACTAGGCCCCTACTAATCCGTACAGTGAGACAGTAATTTTGTTTGAAGCTGTGTATTCGTAAAGGGCCGGCCAAGGCAGGACAAGGGGAAAAGAAAGCTAAACCAGTTTGTGTGAGGGGAGGGGGAGTGGTGTAAATGAAGCACGACATGGGGGGTGCTTGTGGGAATGAGACAGAGAATGCGAGATGGCCAACCTATCTGCCGATGCAAGGCAGGATCTTTTGAAGAACAAGATTGTTCGCATGCGCACGCCTGGAGAGTGACGACAATGAGGTTTGTCATGTCCAATCATTGTGCTTGCAAAACTCCAGCTTGGTCCATGCAGCTAATTGATCCCCGTCGGCGCTGTCGGCAACCCGATCCGCAATGCGGTGGCGATAAGGTGACTGAAGCAAAATGCTATTCAAAACACATCCATGCACTTCTGCCAAGAAGGACTCGAGCTGGGTCACTTTGATAAAGTTAAGGAGGCAAGCAGGTTTTGATAGGAAGGCTTTGATGACCGCCAGCCACCGTTGGGCCCACCAGCTACTCGGACGCCGGCATGGGCCCCAAAGACGCCGTATCGGACTTGTTCCAGGACCGCAGACAAGCCTGGCTCTGTTTTTATCAGTAAATGCAGAGCGCCAGTCGGAGACCCATTGCGACGGTTACACGCGGGACGGCCCATATAATGCTTCCCGTTATCAAGTCATTACCTCGTCATGAAAATTTTCAAACCCTCACAGAGGAGAATGATATCGATTGCCGATTGTCACTGGGCAGAGCTGATAGGGGAGGCGCATTGTTTCAAGTTTACTTTCGCTTTCCCCAGGGTGGTGTGACCTCGAAGGCCACTGAACAAACCAGGGCATAACCGCGATTTCAAAAAAAAAATAAAAATACGGTCCACGTGATGCGTGCCAGGCGTTCCAGGCGTCTTCTAGCCCGCCACTCCGCACGCCCCCTTTGGTTATCATCAAGTCTCACACCCCCCCTTATCCAACATTCTTTTTGTTCCGTGTCATCGAGAACAGGAAGCATATTATTAGCAAACATGGACCGGGGGTTCGCTGCCCCTTCTTCTGACACATTATTACTCCCACGGAGCGCCGAAGCTAGGCCACGTACTGCCCACGGCGTTGTCGGAGATCCTGGGGGCGCGTGGCTAGGCTTCACGACCCAGGGTGCTGGTATACAGCTTCCAACCCAAATCTTACTTTTGTTTCGTGCCGTGTTGTGCGAGCTTGGCGTAGGCAACCAGTAAAAGGCAAACTCAGGCGGCGCAAGCTAATGAGAAGGTTGGCATGCGGCATTCTGTGTAATACTGGATGAATGGAAGCACTAGATGCATAATTTATTGTCTAAAAGTCATAATAATGGCTGCTTTTTTGCTGGGCCGATAATGGGGCAACTTGTTGCCATGTCCGTCTTTTCCGGCCGGATCGCCCGTCCGCGCCTCGTTCGCGCTCGCTCTTAGTCGGCGCCTGCTCAAGCCAAGGAAAAGCCCACCCCCCCCGGATAATCGTGAGTCGTACGGAGTACACCAAATCAATATAAGAAACAAAAGCCCTCCCTCCCACCTAAATCCCTTCCCTCCTTTACCTTTTCTTCTTCATTGATACTCTAGATCGTCGTGCCTGAGCTAGAATCTCATCTCGACTCGATTTGCCACTCGCGCTTTCACAACCAACAACAGCAAACGCACACCTTCGCAAACGCTCTAAGTCGCCTTCGGACCACCCTTCCGCGACCAAAACCCTCGACTCAACTCGCTTCACCCACCCACAACAAAGTGCTCGATTGAGCCCATCAACCAACCTTATTTATTTCGACACTTTCAAAACAAACAAAGTGTGCAATGCCCTCCGTCCCTGCACGTGGGCTTGCTCGCCTGCCCGTGCACCGGGCCCTTCCTACCATCATCTCATCCATTCGCGTCTCGTCGCCATCATGTGTTGGCTTCACTGAGAAGAACCTCTTCACGGCTCCCCTTCAGCGCCGTTCCATCCACAATTCCGAGCGCATGGCTATCAGCTCCTCGGACCGCCGCACCAGCACTGTTGCTGAGCTACCAACTGTTGACCCTACCACTCAACCACCCAGCTCCGAGCCCAAAAGCGCTCCTCTGTCGGTTCTGCCACTGAGCATGATTGTCCGCTCCCTACTCACCACAGTCGTCTCGTCTTCTCCCATCCTCCTCCCACCCTCGCTCCGCATTATGTCTCTCCTCGCCAACACTCACAACCCCATCCTCAACCCCGACAAGAACCCTCTACTCCGCTTCTTCCTCAAAAAGACCTTTTACGCCCAATTCTGTGCTGGTGAGAGCCCCGTTGAAGTGCAGGCAACCATCGCTCGCCTCAAGAACATCGGCTTCAGCGGCGTCATTCTCGGCTACGCCAAAGAGGTTGTCCTGACGCAGGATCAGGCCAAGTCCGTTGCCGCGGAGGACCAAGGAAAGGAGACTGACGCCGACATTGCCAACGAGATTGAGCCCTGGGCTCATGGTACCCTCGAGACTGTTGCTCTCGCCGAGCCTGGTGACTATGTTGCCCTCAAGTTCACCGGCGCTGGCCGCCTTGCTCTCTACCAGCTTTCGCAGAACCACGGTCCTTCCCCCTACCTGTACAAGTCCATCGATGCTATTTGTGCCCTTGCCCAGCAGCGCGGTGTTCGTCTCCTTTTCGACGCTGAACAAGATGCTCTTCAGGATGGCATCGACAGCTGGACCATGACCTTTGCTCGCAAGTACAACACCTCTCCCGAGACTGCCACCGTCTATGGCACCTACCAGGCGTACAAGAAGAAGACCCCCGCTGTCATCTCTCGCCATCTAGCCGACGCTCAGGAAGGCGGTTTCAGCCTTGGTGTCAAGCTGGTTCGTGGCGCATATCTCGGATCTGACCCCCGTCAATGCTTCTGGGAGACCCAGCAAGGAACCGACGCCTGCTACAACAGCATCGCTGCTGGTGTCCTCACCCGCCAGTGGGGCCCCATGGTTGAGGGTAAGGGAGAATTCCCTAACGCTCACATAGTCCTTGCTACCCACAACGTCGAATCTGTCCGCCGTGCCCGTGCCATCTGCGGTGCTGGTGGTGCCAAGTCCGGCATTGCTTTCGCTCAGCTCCAGGGCATGGCTGATGAGGTTAGCTGCGAGCTTGTCGAGGCTGACAGTGCTAACAAGGGCACTGAACTCCCCGTCTTCAAGTACCTCGTCTGGGGCACCACTGGCGAGTGCATGAAGTATCTTCTGCGCCGTGCGAATGAGAACAAGGACGCTGTCGGCCGTACACGCAGCGGTCGTGATGCCATGTGGGCCGAACTTGTCCGCCGATGCAAGACTGCTGTCGGGTTTGTTTAAATGATACCAAAGCGGTCGCTGTTTTTTTTTTTTTATCGTTTTGCATACAACATGCGCACTATTGTCTATTGCCATGTATCATAGCGTTGATTTTGTTTTGTTTTCACTATGTTTTTCTGGAGTTTGGCTGGCAATCGGATATTATCTGGAAAGGAAAATAGATAATAGATTAGCCCACAAGTATTCAAGGATACAGATGATGAATGAAAGAAATAATACTTGCTTGTACCGTTCCTACCGATGTCTGTGAAGACCATTACTCATTCTACACTCCTCGTAAAGCCATTGACCCGATAACCAAGCTTTCTATTTGTTGTCTCTTGGCTTGCGTGTTCTTCAGAGCTTCTAGCCAGCTGATGCCATTGAGCTTGTAGTATTTTCGGACCTTGGCCATGTCCGTGCAGGCCGCAATGTTTTCGTCGGTAACTGGCATGCTTCTGCCCTTGACGTTCTCATGTAGGTGCTTAGCTATTGAATCAGATGCTGCCGACTGTGGCTCTGCCTCCGTAGGAAATGTGATTTTGGCGATGAGAAGATCCTTTGTGGTGGGGGAGATGCCGAAGCGGCGATAGGCATCCGCGATCTGTGGCGGGTTAAAAGCTGTGTGGATCAACGAAGAAGGGCGACAGGAAAGGAATTTCTCACATTCTTGGATGAGCTCAGAGATGCCACGGTCTCAGAATGGATGTTGGGGGTTTGCAGTGCTCCATTGACAGCCGCGTTGGCAGCCTTGAAGATGGCAGAAAGGAGCTGTAATCTCGACACAACCTATTGTGGAAATCAGGAGGTCAGTAGTCATCAAACATGAGGCTATGATTGAATGCCATGGTGAATGTGGTCATACAACGGAAGCATCAATAAATGCGTATTCAAAGTCTGTGTTGCGCGCCAAAAGCTGCTCATGCAAAAATGCGGCGTTTTCCACGTCTCGGAAGAGGGAAATGTGAACGGTGTAGGTGTCGGGCAGATGCTCGAGCTTAACGACTTCTAACTCCATGACGAGGTTCTTACCAGTCTGCGCAAGTGACTGGACTTGATTAAGTTCTTTGACTACGCGAAAAGACTGGCTGACGCTTGAGAGACAATTATGACGCTGCAAGACTGATGAGGCCCGGCTATCGATACGGTGAGGGGCAAATTTTCCCCTCGGTGCTTGCGAGCTTTGGCCTGACAGCTTGGGTCGCGGGGTTTTACAGTGGGGGCCAAGTAGGAGGCTAGCGCAAGCCTGAGATGTCGGCGCGGCATGGAAATGTTCCAGAATCTTTTTGATAGAAGTTAGATAAGAAAAGGATACCAGTGCGTTATCCCCCTAAACGGCTAAGAGTCCTACTTCTTAACGAAGCTTGTGGGTTTCCTTGAAAGAGTCTCTGGCTCATATGGACGTGTCATACCCCATCCATGTTTGGGTACCACTGTCCATTCTGTCGAGTTGCATCGTTGGAGCCATTTTTGAGAAGGAAAATAGATTCTCATTTATAGTGGAGTTCTTGATAAGCATGACGATGATTTCTATCGCTGAAAAGTTTCCTAAGCCCATCACTAGGGGAGCGGGCAGTCGGGTTTCAAAGCACCTGTACTCAAGCCGAAGAACGAAATGATAGACCGGAAAAAAAAAAAAGAAAAGGGAAAAATAAAGAGAGAAGAAAAGAAAGATCTCAAGCAAAATGGGTAGAGATTTACCTGTTGTGTAAAAAGCGTTTGGCAAGACCATTTTCAGTTTCGCTCTGTTGCTTGCTTCCCATTACCATCGATGGGTCATCCGGCCTTGCAAATGGCAACGAGAAGAGAGATGAGGTAATTACTATGAGTGCACCCCATCCTTTATCGGTTAAGCCAGCTGCTACAACCACTGTAGAAAATGGCTCACTGCCCGTTGAAATTCGCTGCATGGCATGACGAGTAGCCAGTGTACGACCAGAGATGAAGCGTGCAAGCGCGTCAATGCCGGACATGGCGAGGTAAAGATACTGGCGAGTTCATCACATCGTTTATACGGCCATCACCTTAATAAAGCAGACGGTTGTCCATTGGCCGACCCAGAAGCATTGTTTACTTGTTGCTGTGTTTCTGGAACCTCTCTTCAGGCAAGTACTTGGCGCACGATACAAGTTACCTCTTCAACTGCGGCCGCTAAGTCGGCAACTAGGCAAAGTCCGCCACGCTACCGACTTGTCAGTCGATCGAACTCTAAATGACGCTTGAGCAAGCCGCTGCCGTCAACGATTGATCGTCGAGGCCGGTCACACCGTGCGGTTTGGTCTGCAACGCCTCCCCTCTGCCACGTGTGGACAGGGCTGATTCTGGGAAGAAGACAAGCGAAACGCGCGAAAGATGAATTGAGAAGGTATTTGAACACATGCTGAGACTTAGAACGAGGGAAAGAGTGCTTCTGGTAATTGTCTGGAATGTTGTAAAGCCCGGTCACTGTGTAAGACGTTGTGATTGCTGGCATGCCGCTTTCGACACACGATAGCAGCACCGAGATTGATCTGCAAGGAACCTCGGAGATATTCGACTTCAGAATACTGATGGAAACCGAAATCAGGCACTAGAAGTTTTCTGGAGAACGGAAGACCCGGCGGTAACCCTCGTTTTAGGGCTATCTGGAGATTCGGGCCAATGCGGACGCCACAATTACGATGATCGACTAAGATAACGCCAAGTAGCTGGTGTAACAACGCCAAAGATGGAGCAGATGATGGGATGTCCAGAATAAAGAATTGACCGGGGTACGCGCTGAAAGGGGAACGTAAAGGCATTATGACTTGGTCCAAGCTGCGATAAGGATCGTCGCTCTCCCCGGGGGATGGAGTGGCCGACCGTGGGGACGATGACTTGAAGCAGTTGATGGAGTCAAGGAAGAGAGCGAGTATTTAAAGAGCGAGACGAGCCTGATAGAATGAGTGAAAAGCTTTTGCGTTATGTTGACGATTACAGCCCAACACATGTTTGAACGTCTGAGTCGAAAGCCACACACAAACACAATTTGGTTACAGCTTTAAGCCAACAGGTGATACATTCAACACCAATTGGGTCACTTCAGCCAACCCGCACTTCATCTCTTTGGAATCATTGCTTTTTTCTCCCTTCCCTTGTCTGGTCTTGCCCGAGTGCCGGCAAGCGCCCCCTCCCAATAAATACAGCGGTCCACCACCCTGTGTTTCCGGCGCGCTACAGAGGACTTTAGGGAGCTACCAGGCAGCCCTAGGCAGTTTTCGGCGGTCTCAGTGGACCCGACCCGCCCTTTAGGCCCCATCTACAGCGCCATTAGCAGGTGTCGCCTCGTGTCCTGCCACCCCCGCAAAGCGCCCGCAAAGTGCCCGCAAAGACGCCGCCATGGACACTGACTTTGACAGTGCCAATGCCCTCGACCTCAAGCCTCGCTCTAGCGTAGGCGTGGGTCCCGGTGATTCGTGCTTCCTCCCAACGTCAACGATTCAGCCAAACGGCTGCCACAGCCTTGTCGTCTCCAATACCCCCAAGACAGCCTCACTCGCCCTCAATTCCTCGCTTCTTCCCCAGCTCGTCTGGCCCCCCGACCTCAATCCTTTTGCGAATCCTCGCCAGCCCTTTGATGGTGGTTGCATCCCCTCCTCTTGCCCGCCCGTCTCTCAACCGAGTGCGCCAGGTGCTGCCGGTGGTCTCATCCTCGACGTTAGTACCGGCGCGCTCTTGCCCTCGCGCGAATCCATTGCCTCGTCCGAGGCCAGCACCACCTCGTCGCACCACTTCAGCCTCGGGCCTTGCTTCAGCGCGAGGGGCTCCGAGAGCTCTGCGCTGACCTCGCCCGCCTCTGCTGGCAGCGCCATCTCCCCAAGCTCCGGCGCACGACGCAGAAGCCAAAAGAAGCCGTCCACCATGTCTGCCCGGGCGCCGGCGAAGCGGTCCGTCGAGCGCGGGGAAAGCAGCGGCGACGACAGCCCTGCGACATCTGTGACAGGCAGCCAGAACGGCGCCAAATCAAAGGTCCCTCGCGTAGAGCGCGGTGCAGAAGACTTCTCGTCTGTCGTCAAGAATCGCCTGCAGTCTTATACACGCACTGGTCAGGCCTGCGACCGATGCAAGGTACGTCGCTGCTGCATGCAGGCTGTTGCAGGCTGTTGTAGCCTGCGCTGCACCTTCCTGTCTCACCATGTATTTGATATCGGTGCTAACCCATTACTTTTGTAGGTACGAAAGATTCGCTGCGATGCTCTTCCCGAAGGCTGCTCTCACTGCATTAATTTAAATCTCGACTGCTTCGTCACTGACAGAGTTTCTGGACGCACCGAACGCCGTGGCTACATGCAAGAGCTCGAACGAGATAAAAATGGCATGGTATCACACATTCGGCAGCTAGAAAAACTCTTGCTGGAGAATGGAGTCCAAGTGCGACCCTGGTATGAAGAAAAGTCTACCCCCGATGCCGCCGACACCTCCGAGCCGCCTTTCAAAGATTCTCCGTCGTCTGAATGGGCGCAGGTTGGGTCTTTATGGGTCAAAAACTTTACAAAAAAGCCGTCTTATTCTCCACGATTTCCGCGCAGCAAGCTCGAGTCTCGGTCGGAGTCTAAAGGGACAGTCGCGGGGCGCACCGTTGCACCACTAAATTCGATGCGCGGCACCAAACTCACTTTTCTCGGCACTACGATTGATACCAGCTCCTTCCCTAGTCCCGATGTTGATGAGCCTGAAGATCCCACCGATACCACGCCACTTTATAACAAATCTTCTCATGCCTTTCTTCAAACCACAGCCGGCGTTAATCCTCCTGTGCAGGTCGAACTTCCGTCCCGGCAAGAAGCCTTCATGTACGCTGAATGGTATTTCATGACAATGGGGGCCTTTATCCCTGTCCTGCATAAGCCGACGTTCATGACATTGCTTGCGCGCATGTATGATGAACCCGACTTTCAACCCACTGCCGCGCAATTGGCACAAGTGCATATGGTCTTTGCCACGATCCTCTTCCAGTACGGCGTGCGAAATTGGCAGCAAGCAGATCAGTGCTACCATCTCAACAACCTTTCCAACAAGCACTTTCACTTTGCCGTCTCCAAGTGGCACCTGCTGCTGTTATCAAGAGATCTTGAAGCCGTGCAAGCTTTAGCTCTGATGGCAGCTCACGTTCGACAGTTCCCTAAGTTGGGCTGCGGATCGTTTGTTGCGCATGCAGTGCTGCAGCGGGCTATTGACTTTAATTTGCATCGAAATCTTCAGCCAGAAGGCGAAAAGACCAATCTCACCAACGAGATACGCAAAAGACTGTGGTGGAGCATTCTCATGACCGTTGTCTCCATTACTGGCCGTCGAGGATATCCTGTTCCCATTGCTGTTGAAGAAATTGATGCCGAGTTTCCTGAGCCGATCGCAGATGAGCTGCTTACCGAAGAAGGCGTTGACACAACACGAACTCTCCCCTGTCCATTCGAGGCTGCTATCGCGGGCTTCAAAATCACGCCGATTTTCATGGAAGTATTTTCGAATATCCACAGCGTGCGAGGCGACCCTGATAGCTACCTCTCTGTTGTTGAAGCTCTAGAAGAGCAACTTAGGCAATGGGAATCCGATCTACCCGAGTCACTCAAATTGGCCGAGGACGCAGCTTTGGACATTCAAATGCTGGCACCGCTATTCATGCGCACGTATGTGCTCGAAGTTCGCTTATCTCTGCGCCACCCCGGCGTGGCCATGACAACAGACAAGCAAGTAATCGCAGATAATACTCGCATATGTGCTGAGATTGGACGGGAATTTCTTCACGTTGCGCAAATGATTCAGCAACTCAAGTGCTTGGATACAACGTGGTACACGGTCTCGTTTGCCTCTGCATGCATATTTGCCATGTTGGTCGCCCAGTGGGAGAAGAGATTCGAAACAACAGAGGAAGACTTTGCCTCTCTGCAAAAAGACATGTCTAGCTGGATGTCCATCTTGGACGACATTGGTGAGATTCTTGGTACGTAAAGTCTGATGGCCCTCTTGAATGCAGCTAACATACTTTGAAAGGCGCTAAAACGAGCATCGCGGATGAAATTCGGCAAATCATGGAACGGACACTCGGCTGGATTCGACATGATATGGACCACAGAGATGACAATAGGACGACACGCGCAAAGTCGGCTTCTGGCAAGGGCAAGCCATTGCCCAAGTCTCAGGCAAAGGGTCGGCGCCGCTCTGATTCTCTACCAAGGAAGCAACCGCAGAAGCCAACGCAACCACAACTCGGGGACAGCTCCCTTGTCGCTCCACAGGCTACCCAACACGTTCAACCGCAGGCAATGGCCCTTGAACCAATTGTCACCCAAGCCCCAGCTGCTGGTGTGAGCGCCACTAACCCAGATGTCCCGAGTAACGGATACTATCGCGAGCAACAGATGGCCACGCAGCCAAACTACCAAACTATGGCATACGGTGCGGCCCACCAGCAGACCATGAGCCCTGACGGCTACCAGGCCGATGCGTCGATGTTGTATAGCAACCCAGCTACGAGCGTCGCATCGATGGCGGATTCTTCGGTTTCCGAGAACCCTTTGATTGCATTTGCATCACAGGCGACCCAACAAATGCCGCCTGGTGCCGAGGCTGATTACATGTGGACTGGCCGCGGGAGCTCTTGGCAGGACTGGACGGCCGCAATCGCAGACAGGAACGACCGCTACAGCGCAAGTGCTTTGTTGACGCTGGGAGGCGGCGCGATGCAGCCTCAGAGCAACCAGCCCATGGACTCGGCATTCATCATGAGCCACGGCAACTCATTGGAGCAGCAGGCCGGTGGCATTCAAGCGGCCCAGCCTGGACAGACGTGGCCAATTATGATGTTTGACAATAATAACAACCCTGCAACGTCGTGATAGCGTGAAGGGAAGATTTCGGTGCGAGAGCGATGACTTTTCCGACTCAGGCACTTTGTACAATTTTCGATACCTCGCAGCGACAAACTGGGCATTGGATAGATGCCGCGTGTGGACATGCGAAACTCGTTGGGTTCTTTTGTGGGATTGTTAATTTTTTTTTCTTTTCTGGATGGCGCATCTGATTCGGGAGGGACTGATGGAACGGCGCTCATCAAGATACCACTGCTTACAATGTACATGATAGATAATACACTGACGCTTGATATTTGATCATTGTTGCATCTCTTCAGCGCAATAATAATGACTGTGAACTCTAGTGATGATATGATGGGCTTGGGTGTGCCGCATCGATTCATTAGGGAGCGATGCTGTGCACATGTCCCGACCAGGATTTCAGCGTCTGCCACCAAGGATGCCTCGTGTTCCCACTCAGGCTTGCAGGGTCTTGGGTTAAATGTTTTAGAGATATGCAGATGTCTCTCTCAGCTAACACCCGGCCAATGAGGCAGCCGCTGTTGATAATAATGCAATCTAAAATCATGCAGCCCAGCTCAGCTCTGCTGCAGCGGGCACTACACTACTACCAGTACGTGGCACCTGAAGGCTGGCTGGACCAATTGACCACCATTCTCGCAGCCGATCATCTGTCCGGGAGGGGGACCCAAGGGCCGTCCATGATGTCTCCGTCTGTCTTTCAACTATTGCAGTGCACTAATGCAAGCACGCCCCAGCCGGGGCTGCGGGTTTTGGAGAGGGTCCTTGTTCCGCAGTTCGGTCTACATGCGGGAGGGCAAAAGAAAAGATGCATGCCAGGTAGTACGAGGTGTTACTGGCGAGTAGAGTTGGTCTCGGGTCTGCATATGTGCAGATTACGAAGCTGGCAATAGGTACCCCCGGTACTCCGTACAGCGATGCAAGTATACGAATATGTGGTCAGTCTAATCTGTACACGGGCCGGCACCCGCGGCACAGGCAAACCTCACAAGCAGAGGGAGCTTGTCTCTACAGAAAGCTCACATTTCTTCCTCTTCACTAAATCGAATTGTCTTCCAAGCCTCGAGTTTTGAAGCGAGCAGCATGGCACAACCGATCCCGCAGCCCAAAGGCCTGCCGCTGGTGGGCAACCTGTTTGACGTCAAGGCCAGCAACACGTGGACGTCGCTCAAGACGCTGGCCGAGGAGCATGGCGAAATCTTCCAGATCAAAGTGTTTGGGCGGGCAATTGTGTTTGTGGCGAGTGCGGCGCTGGCCGAGGAGCTGTGCGACGAGAAGCGCTTCCGCAAGTACGTTGGCGGGCCCGTCGTCCAGATCCGCGCCGCCGTGAACGACGCCCTCTTCACGGCCTACGATAACGAGGCCAGCTGGGGCATCGCGCACCGCATCATCGCGCCGCACCTCACGCCCAGCGCGCTGACGCAGTGGCACGGCGAGATGCGCGCCACGGCGGAGGAGATGATGGATGGTTGGATCAAAGGTGGCGGAGGAGGAGGAGGAGGAGGCGTGGTGATTTCGCCGTTTGAGCAACTCGCACGGCTGAACCTCGAAACGACGACGCTGACGCTCTACGGCAAGAAGCTGGGCGGGCTGACGGGGCCGGAGCACCCGATGCTGCAAGCCATGGAGGACTCGACGGCCGAGGCGGTGATGAGGCCGACACGGCTGCCCATTGTCAACACGCTGCTGTACGGTCGCAAATTCAGCCGCGCCATCGCGGTGATGCGCGAGTACGCGGCCGACGTGGTGCAGTACAGGCGGGACAACCCGACCGACCGCCAAGACGTGCTCGCGGCGATGCTGACCGCCAAAGACCCCGTCACCGGCACGGCGCTGACCGACTCGCAGGTCATTGACGAGGTGGTGTCGATGCCCATCGGCAGCAGCACGGCGCCGTGCTTGCTCGCCACGGCGCTGTACCTGCTCCTGCGAAGCCCGTCGGCCGCGCGGCGCGCCCGCGACGAGATTGACGCCGTGACGGGCGGCGCGGCGGCGCCAATTGAGCACGGGCACGTCGCACGGCTCGAGTACGTCGGCGCCATCGTTCACGAGGCGCTGCGGCTGTCCTTTGCGGCGCCGGGCTACAACATTGAGCCCGTGCCGTCGGCGGACAAGGCGCCCGTGCTGCTCGCGGGCGGCAAGTACCAGGTCGCGCACGACCAGGCCATGATCCTCGTCATGGCCGGCATCAACCGCGACCCGGCCGTCTTTGAAGACCCCCTGGCGTTCCGCCCGGAGCGCATGCTCGGTGAGGCGTTTGAAAAGCTGCCGGCGGGGGCCAAGAAGTGGTTCGGCAACGGCAAGAGGGAGTGCATCGGGAAAGAGTACGCGTGGCACTGGAGCGTTCTGGTGCTGGCGATGATGCTGCAGAAGATTGATTTTGAGGCGGCGGATGCAGGATACGTGCTGGAGAGGGACGGCTGGTTCAACTACAGGCCGGTTGGGTTCAAGGTCAAGGTCAAGGCGAGAGCTTAGGCTTGCGCGAGCGTGGAGTAGGTCAGGTGGGAACTGAGTGTGCTAAAGTTAGCGAGAAGGTGATATGGCACCAACACATCGGATACGAGACAAGTAATAAGTGCCAAGAGAATGCCAAATTAATTAATTAATAACAAAACTTTTTACATTGTCTGTTGTAAATGGTCATGTGTGTTTCTGGTACTTGGTTGTGACACTGCGGCGGCGCCTCGCGGTTCAGCCGAGATTATTCCGCCGCAAGCTAGCCCAATTTATCACGTCGCGAACGCAGGCAAACGAGTCGGCGAGCCATTACCCAAAAGGAATACATGAAAGCTTCACGACGAGTTTGACCGACCGATCTCGCTTTCACGGACATCGAAATTCGAATACACAGCTCATTCAGATACAAAAGCCGCCGCAATGGGCAAAAGGAGACGCGGCCACACCGATGTCGAGGAGCTGCTGGCTCGGCCATGGTGCTACTACTGTACGATTCCCCAACCCTTCGATTATTTGCGCCCACCCTGGTTGCGAGAACAATCAACCATCAATGAAATGTTTTTCTCTGCTGACTGACGCTGGTGACGACTCCTAGGCGAACGCGACTTTGAAGACTTGAAGCTCCTCATCTCCCACCAAAAAGCGAAACATTTCAAGTGCGAGCGATGCGGTCGCCGATTAAATACAGCCGGAGGTTCGTCCAAACCCCCTTACCTCTCCTCTACCGTCCTAGGAAAGAAGGCGACGAATGCTTCGAGAAAAAAAAGTGAAAGAAGATCCTGCTAACACGAGACCCGCGTCCCTAGGTCTCTCCGTCCACATGAACCAAGTGCACAAGGAAACCGTCAGCCAGGTCGAGAACGCGCTGCCGAATCGACAAGGCCTCGACGTTGAAATTTTCGGCATGGAGGGCGTCCCGCAGGACATTCTTGAACAGCACCGCACGCGCATCATACAAAACTTTTACCAGGCCCAGGAGAGCCGCCGCCTCGCGACCGGCAACCCGCTGCCGGGCCAGTCCCTCCACGGCGCGCGCAAAAAGATTCGCTATGAGACGGCCGAGGAGCTTCTCCGGCGCCTCGCCGAGTGGCGCGCACATAAGAAGGCCGGCACGCTGCCGCCCACTGTCGTCGACAATGCCGTCGCGAACCAACAGGTACGTCCTCCTTTCTCCCCTCACCCTCTTTCTTTACAATATTTAGCCCCCCGCCAGATGACTGACACTTACTTGTAAAAATCTAGGCATACGCTGAAGGACTGCCGCAGCGACACGCTGTTGGTGATGACATTGATCAGCTGATTCGGTCGGCCGCCGAGCCGGAGAAGAGTAAAAAGGAAAAGGACGGCAAAAAGTCGCGGCTGGTGTACGACGACGCAGAGGTCAGCCCGGAAGAGAGAATGTCGCAGCTGTCACGGTACGCGTACCAGCCTGCCGTTGCGGCGTGAGTGGTGCGTGGACGCGGGAGAGGGGCTGAAGCAGAGGAATTGCGTTCGGAATAGTCGAGCTAACGAGTCACTTTCGACAATGACAAGACTATGCGGCTGCATGACAATGGAATATCTATCTTGGGATCTGGAGTTTTCATAATTCGGGATATAAGACTCTTGTTTACAATGAGCGAGCCTTGTGTACAGTAACAAAATCGACAAAAACAATCGCGTCAACATATTCATCACACATTTGGCACGCTTCTTACATGAGTCTAGCAAAAGCTAGCATAATGGTGGCGATAGCACAGGAGCTATATGAACAAGTATATTGCCATATATACCCTCCCAGCTCTTTTCAGGACGTAGAAATTGCTATATATCCCACAGCCTAGAAGGTACTGCTCGAGGCGCATTTTATAACAAGATCAAACAGGCTCTAATCATCCGAGCATTATACAGTAATCAGCGTCGTGGACCAAATTTCCCGAATCCGTCTTTACTTCTCGCCAGTGTTGCGCCATACAAAGCCTACCCTAGTTTCGTCATTTTCTATTCTTTTTCGTTGCTTCCCGACATCCCCTTCATTACTGGACAGCGTAAGATTCGTCCGTGTCCCTTGCGTACAGTGCGTTGTATTCAAAACACAAGCTTCTGCTAAGCCAGCTCCAGTTTTTATGAGGCAGATGCGCTTAGAGCTGTTTCTATTGCCAGCGCAGTCGTCTACCAACATCTCTCCTCAACTCGGCAGCGATTATTTGGGCAGAGCATTCTTACCGGCAGCCTTGCTCTTGGCAAGAGCACCGGAGAGACCAAACTGCGAGCCAATGCCGTTGATACGGTGAGTGGCATTGAGGTTCTTGACGACGAGGATCTGGAAGCAGGTAGCGGAACCCTGTCGAGAGGCGATAACGGACCAGGCGAGGAAAAGCTCCCAGATCTACAGAAAAGTTAGTGACGAGTGGATTGAAGATCAAAAGGGTACGGCAACATACTCTGTACCAGCGCTGACCATACTTGCCGGTAATTTCGGCGCGGTTGCCAACCCAGTTGCGGTACCATCTCCATAGAGTGGCAGAGTAGTGGACGCCAACAGTGTCAACGCTGTGAAGGGTCAGCTTGCTCGACTGAACGGGTGACAAAAGTGGCTACGTTGACATACCTCTTGATCTCGAAGCCAGCCCTCTCGAGGGATCGGGTATAGTTCCAGAGGGGAGTAGAAGCATCGGCACCACGGAAAATGTACTTGTTCAAGTATAGACCCCAGATGAGATCCTCATACTGCCAAGCCTGGCGAAGACCAGACAGCTGAACGTACATGAGACCATCATCTTCGAGCATATCGTAGCATTGGCGGAAGAAACCAGTGAGCTTGCGGATACCGACGTGCTCGCCCATCTCGAGTTGGGAGATTTTGTTGTACTTGACCTTGGGAGCGTCGCGATAGTCCATGCAGAGGATGCGAGACTGCTCCTCGGGGATACCGGCCTTGCGCAAAACATCGTTGCCCCAAGCGGCACCGTTCTCAGCGATAGTGATACCGGTGACCTTGGCGCCGTAGTTGAGACTGGCAAACTTGGCGAGGGTGCCCCAGCCGGAGCCAATATCGAGCATGGTTTCACCCTCCTTGAGCTCGAGCTTCTCGCAGACGACGGCCATTTTGTTGTCCTGGAGCTCTTCTAGGGTCTCCTCGCGAGTAGGGTCCGAGATGATGCCGGAGGTGTAGATCATGCGGGGACCGAGAAACCAAGCGTAGTGGTCGTTGCCGTTGTCATAGTTGGGGCGAATCTGATCCATATCCTGATCCTTGGTGTGTAAGAGCACATCGGGGCCAAAGGTACCGAAGATGAACTTGAAGAGATCCAAGGTGAAAGAAAAGTTGGACCAGTCGTGGCGGTACTCGAGGACGTCGAGGATGTCGCCGTTGGCATCAACCTTGCCGTCGACGTACATCTCGGAGAAGGTCTGGATGGGGATCTTGGAGCGACCGCTCCACTTGGCCTTATGGGTGGCATCCTTAAAAGTGATGTAGGACTCGACGGGACGGCCGGGGAGCTTGGCGTGCTCGTTGATGCGAGGGCTGAAGGCAGACTTGAAGGACCAGTAGCCGATGAGGGTGGGGAGAAGGGTGATCAAGCCAAAAACGATTTTGGTTTTGATACCACCACCAACGAGACGGGCCAGAAACCAGGGAACGCCAATTATCAAACCGACGAGGACAATGTTGGAGAAGCTATCATTTCCAGGACCTTCAGCGGGCAGCGGGGCATTGTGAATCGTGGGGAACTAGTTGCGAGGGTGAGGTTAGCGGGAAAAAAAGATACAAAGACAATGAATGGTGGTTGTCTAGCCAATTGAGTCTTTTGCGAAGGGATAAGGACGGATTTTGCATTGCGGCGTGTGCGGCCATGGCAGGAGAAGCTGCTGGGAGGAGGGTGCCAAAATTTCACGTGGGTAAAGGAGCTCACATCAGTAACGGGAACACCGCAGTCCTGAGCCTCGAAGGACGAAGGAGGCTGCTTGGGTGTCTTGATGTAGTTGATATTCTCCTCAAGATGAGGAGTATTGGACGCCATGGCTGTAGAAATTGAGGATAGGCGAAGCAAAGGCAGGACGTCTGAGGGAGAAAGAGGAAAGAAACAACAGGAGGCGAGACGAATTTAGAGAGGCAGGCACAGGTACGGAGCCGGGAGCCGTACCTTGGTGAGGGAGAAGGCCGGGCTAGCAAGAAAGGTACCTAGCACTGCATATTGCCTGCAAGTGGTACCTGACATCTGGCCTCGCCTGTTTTTCCGGTGGTAGACGCAAATCCACTCACGCGTCTTGGCTACTTTCGGGCGCTCAAGCTTTTTCATATCACCATCAAGCTTTGCTAGGCATGTCCAGACATGTCTAGACTTTATTTAGGGCTACTTCCTCAGATGCAGTACATGCCCCTGATGCGCCCCTAGCCTGCAATGTGGCGGTTTGGGTTCCCTCACTGCCCTGGAGGCTGAGACCCCAAGGGGACCCAGTAGGTTGACCTGGGGCTCCGCCAGCCACCTGTTAGATACCAAAAGCATGCACACCGCTGCTCGTGCCTGTCAACTTTACCATTATTTTCCCGCTTCTTCTCTTGCCCAATTGTAATGAGGTCGAACCTGGTGCAATGAGAAAAGGAAGCTTGACTAGGTGACAAGGTTGTGGCTGACAATGGCTCTGTGACGTGTCGGACTAAAATTTTTGGCGAGCTATCACTAATAATAATTGACGAACAAAGTCGAGGCTTGACGCTTAACTTTAACGATAGATTCTCAATTCTAGGAAAAATGTGAAAGGAAAAAAAATCCTACTAGTATTTACTCCTAAGCAGCTAGTGCGCGGCTCTATTATACTCGCGCCCGCGGCTCTATCATCTACCACGGCCGGCCGCCTCAAGTGTCTTCACGTTACTTAGCTACTCCCCAGCCTTTTCTGTGTTCGTCAATCAGTGAAAATGTCAATCAGTAAATATGGTTCACCCCATATCTAGCCCGTGTTGAGAGACGCCGGCGCCCGAGGGCCCCTTCAACCTTTCAATGGCGATGGAGCAACTGGGTATTACCTAAAAGTGCGTCCGGGTACTGTGATTTGCTCCGAATTTCCCGGGGTCATTTATTCTGAGCGATCTCGTGCCCACCATAAATAGGCGAATATCCAAAGAGAGACCTGTCCGAAGGCACTGACCAGGTGAGTTGGCGAGCTTCAGTAAATACAGGTACTCCATGATTGATGTCGCACGTGCGATCGGTGAGCAAAGGGATAGCATATTGGCCTGCGTCTGCTGTCGCTAATGACACAGTGCTGGCTATGTCAGAAGTCAGAATCCCTTATTATCGAAGATCTTCTGCGGACTATTAGACTCCTATTGACAGTGAGTAGCTAGCCACCCATAGTGATTGCTGAAGCTAGACACATTCAATTGAGACTGCTATAACTCGTTGATTGATGGTGACGACAAACCGTCACGGCTTCATTTGGCCCATCCCACATATCACGCAAATACTTTCATCACGATAGTGAACAAGTTATAGAGCTGGATGACTAGATGCGAGAAACTCTGTAAGTACTCCCAAATAATTGGCGCAGCTGGTGCAGCAGTCAATTCTTCGGGCATCATTCAATGCATCAATTTGGACAAAATCGTGGATTAGCATTAAAGCGTACCAAAACGAAGACCTTGACGTCCGTATTTTACCGCTCCGATGGCCGATGAGGGGAAGAAACGTGAGGCCGAAACACTGATGAATTTGTTCAAGGGGTAGGTCCTCTAGGCTTCCTTTCTTGATTCTCGCTGCTAGCTCAACTCTGGATTGCAACCGACGGGAGTGGCCCACGTCAAAACTCTCATGGCTGCGACGCTGAGATCCGACTAGGTGGAGAGCTGTCCCAGATGATGGCGATGGTGAAGGTGACGATTGAGAGAGCTAGAGCTCCCGTGTATTGAACGCATTAAGCCCTTTCGGCTCGTATGAGAGGAGATCTTGTTTTCCCATCATAAGCAGCAATTATTGTTGCTGCATACTAGGGCATAGACGCAGTTGATGATCCGAACTATCGGAAGATGGCTGAAAATCGACCTGAAGCGCTGCCCAATGATTGCATGGGATCACTACCACTGGCCGCATTATTTCTCTATTGTGCTAGTTCTGCGGCTGTGTGTTATTCCTTCGCCATCGTGTAGGTCAAGCACTCAATCTTCGCAGGTTTGAACAACCGTAGGTCAGCCTGCCCAAAATAGCAGCACCGTCAAAGCCTCGAAAAGCATACAAACGTTCAAAAATCTATCGGAGTATCTGTCGCACCTGCCTCGTTGGTACATCTCGGTACCGTCTCGGAACTAGGAATCTTTGTATCGTCATGAAAGGTCAAGACCGACGACAAGATTGCGGACAAGAGATATTATGTACTACCAATTCTGTTTCGAGGTACGTCTTCAGTAGTAAGTTATCGTCGTGACCAGTAGTCAAGAGACAACAGTTTTCACATGCATTGCCGGCAAGGTCCAAAGGCTCAACAGGCTGTCTACTGTCTTTCATGTGGCCACACGTACCTCATACGGGCATGTTATGCCTCTACCAGGAAAATCACGAAAGCAGACACATATATCCGTCCGCAGTGGCCCTCTTCTAGTAGTAATACCACGTGTGATGATCAAATTTTGGCATCCAGTACGCCTGGGCAGCTGGTACACCTGATCAACAGAGAGCAGAACCTGGAGGCCGCCGTTTGAGGGAGTTTTTGCCAGTAAGTCGTGACAACTGTACATATTGCACCGTGTTCTTAACACCGCTACTTTTTTCTTGAAAAATAAGAGCACAGTTCATGTCAGGATCGGAGAGTGAGTCAAGCCACAAAAGGGGTCATGTGCGAAGAAGCAGGCATCAAGAGGCGAGCTGCCGACGAGCTAGCAGTGAGGAGGCAGTCATAATTTCATAATCATTCGTAATAATAAGGATCATTCTGTGACTGAAGTCCCTCGACCACCACAACCTCACAGTTCAGGGGCCTAGATATTAAGCGAACTACCTTGGTGGCGGTGGGCGCGCAGCCGGCGTCGCCAAAGGACAAGAGCACATCGAGGAGCGCGCCCGCGGACGGCTGGCCGGACCTGACGCCGGAGCACTGCGCGCACTTTCGCGGCGACTATGCGCTGCAGGTCCTGCGTCATCTGCCCTACCTTGGCGGCCGGCCACCGCAGCACCTGCACTACCAATGCGAGGTTGTCGACTACACGGCCGTCGACCGCGCCTGGTTCGTCGAGCACCACATGGACGGCGACACCGACGAGTGGTGGTCGACGCTCAGCCAGGTTACAGCCTCTTCTCCCATTAGTGTTTCCAACTGCGCGTCTGATGCCTCCTGTAAGCCCCTCGAGAACAGTGGCAGTGGCACGGCGTCCGCCTGCGCTGGATAGTCATGATCGGCATCAAATGCCCCTTATCATACTCTACTCCAATGATTTGAGAGACACGCTTGAACTTTCCCTTCCGAGCCGCATGAGTGAGTCTCTCATCATACACGCAGTAGATGTACTGTGTCTTGCCAAGCAGGAGAGGAATGTCTTCAAATGTTTCGGGCTTGATGACCAACTTCGACAGCCAGGAGACGAATTTCTGATTGCATCACCAGAAGAGACCGACTGCGACCGACGCACCTCACGGCAGCCGGCGAGACAAACCATTGCATATATAGCTCGATTTTTGCAGCCTGTGATCTCCTCAAGACCAATGTCCATGCCGAAATCACAAAGAATGGGCTGTTCTCTCGGGGAGTTGGTGCTGAACAGGGGCTGGGCCTTTTCCTCAACGGCTATTCCACTAAGTCATCTCTCTAGCTCTTAGTTGTGCATTCGCCGAGCGCAGGCTTCTTGGTACGCCTTTGCCATGTCTTCCTTACAAGCCTTTACCGCATTTCGCTAATCGTAGCAGAGTCTCTTGCACTCAACCTTCACACAACACCGCCAGTAGGTACCTCACGATACCCCATCTCTGCCACTATCAACACAATAAGTAGGCCACACAACGTCAATTCTATCACCGCCGCCATCGCCGCCTCGATTTAACCCGACCGATCAATTATATCTTTTCAGCGGCGGCGGCGGCGGCGGCGGCAGGTAGCAGGGACAGATAGAACAGCGAAATACACTTTTTACGTCTTGAAAAGATACCTCTCTTAATATAGAAAATGCCATGTACTTGTAGCACAGATAAAAATGGCGAAATACATTACGTCTTTGAAAAGATACCTTCCTTAATATAGAAAATGCACTAATTACCATGTACTTATAGCAGCTCCAGATGTACCATCACGTGCGGCTTGTCCACGTAAATAGAAAAAAAAGGGTCCATGCATAGGTAACTGCATGTGGTACAACGCCATTGTTGACTTAGCCACGGTATGCACAAGCGCGTAAAGTAAATAGTCAATAGCCTTCTGGCCACGGTCCTGGTTCTCAAGTAATAAACTCTCAAACGCAGATTGAAGGGTCATCTAAATAGGAAAAATCTCCCTGCAAAACAAGGGGCGCAAGTTCATCGCGTGGTGGGCCAGGCCTTGGTGGCCTGTTGTCGGGGCAACTATGTGCAAGCCAACAACAAAGACAATGGACGTCACTAAGAACTGAGGTGCATGAATCAGCAATCCTTTTTCATCTGATTGCTGTATACGAGCTCGATTATTTTTGCATTTGGCTCTTCATTTGCGATATTTCTTCTCTTGCTTTATCACCTGCCTTGTCACACTTCTCAACGCGTTTCTATTCTCCGATGTTTGCAGACTTGCTCGATTAGCAAACACTGCACACCGTGAGCCGATGAACACCACTTTCCTTTATCACGTCATTGTTGAACACCACCAGCCTTATCAACTCGCTATTTCTCGAGCCTGAAGCTCTGATACGCCGCATTCAACAATTGCCAAAGAAGATTTCAAGTTCGAACTAGCGCGCAAGCGAACCACCATGGCTGATGCGCAATCATCCATTACCGTCGCGAGTGAGTTGCTGCTGCTCTGCCTCGAATATGGAAGCATTCCGATGCTAATGACCCCCAGTTCGCGTTCGGCCGTTTACGATTCGAGAAGCCGCACAAGTGTAATGTAATTAGTGCAAGCCACCCCATCCGCCACTAACAGCCATCTAGTCACCGAGCCGAGGACAACACACTCTTTCTTGGCGATGGCTCTCTTGCGGGAACGCCAGCCCCCAAGCTGCACCAGCGCGGCATTCGGAATGTTATAAAGGTCATGGATGAACGTTGCCTGTAGGTTACCCTGATTCGAAAGCACGGTTCTTCAACTGACGTCTGAGAAAGGGTTTTCGATCCGCCCGAGGATAGTCCCGTGCACAAATTCTCCCGGTCGGTTGTCCCCGGCTCGAGAAAGGTCAAAGATCAAATTTTTGCATTTGACCGTGTCTTTGACGAAAACACTACACAGTCAGATGTCTACGAGGGCACAACAAAAAGCCTCCTTGACAGTGTCCTAGATGGCTACAATGCCACTGTTTTTGCTTACGGCGCCACGGGCTGCGGAAAGACACACACAATTACGGGGACACCGCAATCGCCGGGAATCATTTTCTTAACGATGCAAGAACTCTTCGAAAAGATTGAAGAGCGCAGCCAGGACAAGACGACCGAAGTCAGCCTGAGTTACCTGGAAATCTACAACGAAACTATCCGTGACTTGCTTGTTCCAGGTGGTACCAAAGCTGGGCTGACTTTGCGCGAAGACAGTAACCAAGCAGTCACAGTTGCTGGCTTGACAAGCCACCACCCCAAAGATGTGCAGGAAGTCATGGATATGATTGTTCAGGGAAACGAATATCGCACAGTATCACCGACACAAGCCAACGCCACTTCTTCTCGATCTCATGCTGTTTTGCAAGTCAACATCGCTCAGAAAGACCGAAATGCTGATCTCAACGAACCTCACACAATGGCAACACTCAGCATTATTGATCTTGCTGGCTCGGAGCGAGCCTCTGTGACAAAGAATCGAGGCGAACGTCTTACCGAAGGTGCCAACATCAACAAATCACTTCTCGCATTGGGCAGTTGCATCAATGCACTTTGTGACCGTCGACAACGCGCGCACGTCCCATATCGCAACAGCAAGCTCACGCGATTGCTGAAATTTTCGCTTGGTGGCAACTGCAAAACAGTCATGATTGTTTGCGTTTCGCCTTCTAGCGCCCATTTCGATGAGACTCAAAACACACTCCGTTACGCGAACCGAGCCAAGAATATCCAGACGAAAGTGACCCGAAATGTCTTCAACGTCAACCGCCATGTCAAGGACTTTTTGGTCAAGATTGATGAGCAAATGGCACTCATTACTGAGCTCAAGGCTCAACAAAAGGACGCCGAGAAAATCTCTTTTGCAAAGTTCCGAAAACAGTACGACAAGAGAGATTCTGTGGCTAGAGAAGGAGTGCAACGTCTTCGCACAGCCTACGATAACGCCGCCGCTGATAGACATGAGCGCATCCAAAACATGAAAAGGCTTAAAGGCTTTGAGAGAAGAATCTCACTATTGAATGGCTGGGTTGCGGCTTTCGATGCAGTGTGTGCGAAAAGGGCCGACATTGGTCCGATGCCTGACAATCTCTCTGCTGTTCGCAAAACCGCCCAGGGTATCCTCATTGAATTGGAGCATAGCCGCCAGCACATCCATCAGAAGCTCGAGCACTCAACTTGGGAGCGTCACATTGACACTGCATTGGCCCACAGCATTCAGCAGTTGCAGACCACCGAAGGCTCCGACACCGGAGAGGTTAATGACCTCCAGCGAGAAGCCGAACTGATCAAGGCGAATTTCAGCCGCGAAGCTTACCGCGAAGTTCTGGAACAAGAGAAGTTCGGCGATGCGGCAATGGTTCAGATGCTTCTGACTGCTCAATTCGAAATTTTGACCTCGCTCTCTGATATCTTGGCTATGGACGAGCAGAGCGCAGTGTCTCATGCAAAGGGGGTCTTTAGCAAATTACTGCAAACCGGTTTCACTTCGGCGGCACAAGTCGTTAGACCTGACGACTCCGCTTCCATAAGTAGCTCGAGCTCTTTCTTGCAAAAAGGTTCGGTGAAGAAGAGTTACCTTTTTGGACAAGCCAAGCCATTCGAGGCTCCAGCGTTGGCTGCATCAGAACCGGAGAATGTCATGACCAGCCCTCTTAAATGCTCACCGAGAAGGCGTAAGGTGCTTACTTCGGCCAAAAAAGCTGTCACATTCACACCTGTGAAGAAGAACAAAAAGAGCGGCGTGAGGTGGCGAGATGACGAGACAGAGGAGGGTACCCTCGCGGACTTTGAGAAGACGCCTAAGAATCTGAAGTCGCCCGAGGGGCTACTGGAAGCGGCTCCTATCATCGAGCAGTCTTCAGAAGAGGCCATAGTCACGAGCCACGATCAATCCACAGAGGATGAGTCAACCTTGATTATCCCTGAGGCGACGAGTCTCAATCTTGCAAAACCCAGTCGCTTCCAGGCGGGATTCCTCAGCAAGTCGTCTCGGCCTTCCATGCTGCCAAACGGATCACCATCACCCCAGCCACCAACGCTCAGCCCTGGCCTACCACCAGGCCCTCTAGAAACCACGCAAGACTCACCTCTCAGAACCCTCGACGTCACTCAGAGTGGCAATATGTCGCCACCACCTTTGCCGCAGGGAATTAGAAACAGTCCTCAATGCTCTCTGCAGACAATCGCGGATGAAAACTGCCCACCCTCAGCTGCCGCCTCAGGGTCGGACTCGGACTCCAGCTTGCTTGATCAGCGTAAGCTTCGCAATGCGATGCACTCGGCCAAAAAGGAGCTGCCCCGTAGAGTGAGCGCTCTTGGCGCTGTAACTGCATCTAGCGCAAGACGCATATCTTCGGTCGGATCAACAACGGGAGATCGCGTGGGAAGTCGTCCTAGCCTGTCGGGTTCTCTTGCTAGCTCAACCAATGGCATATCACGACACCGTCGAGGAAGCTTGGAGCGGAAGCGAAATTCACCTATGTCGTGCTCACCTCCTCAGTGCAAGGATCGCAATCTTACTGCCTCTCAGGCGAGGCGGATGAATCTCGGCGGTAGTGTTCGCGTCGAGAATACGGCCAGCCCAATCAATCCAGCAGTTAACCAGACTCGCCGCGTCACTATCAGCGTCGGGGCGCCAGCTTCGGTACTCCGGCGACAAGAAAGCAAGGGGAACATGGCCCTTCGATAAACCAAGTTTTATGACGTGACGTTTTGATTCATTTGCTTTTAGTACCATTTCATGCAGCAGACGAGCTCTCGTTTAGAGCTTCGTTTACAAACTGGCTGCTGGCGTTTGGGAATTGTGTACGAGTTGGAAGGAGCTGAAACAACTACTTGCTGCCCCTCCATTGTATAACTTGTATAAAAAAGACTGTAACTACGAATTCGAGAACATTTTCAAATGAACATCGTTAAGTTGCCGACGGTTTACGGAGTACCTATGAAAAGTCTCGAGCTTCTTCTTGGGCGTGCTAATCACAGTGCTCCCGAATGCAATTTACACGGTGTTTCGGATGTGGCTCCACACAAATCTGCACGCAACACCGGCATCATGACAGTGCTTCCGAAACCTGCTTCATTAGCGCCAGTAACTGCAACAGAAGCAGGCTGATTTCAGCTTATACGTATGGACGACGCAGCAGGGCGCGGGTCACCACGCTACATTCGTAGTCGCATTGGTAATGCTTGTGACGGGTGCAAGGCGCGCAAAGTCAAATGCGACGGCAAAATTCCTTGTGGCTACTGCGCAGGGCGGCAGCGCGGCGATGTTTGCCATTACTCGGCGCAGCGTCGCAGAAGAAATGCTGGCGCAACAACATCACATGGCGCTCACGGCACGACGACGCCGCCCGGAACTATTGGGACAGGTACAGCATCACCAACGCCAGATGTGCAGCAGCGGCCGCTGCCAAGTGCCGACAGCCGACAGGTGCAGCGTGAAGAGGACCAGGTGGCAGACCAACAGATTGTATCCGCTTCGCGCAATCGAGGTCAAACTCGGCCCAGACGCCAGCCTGCGACTAGAGAGGCATCTAACAGACCGGGAATTGGAAGTGATAGAAGGAGGAACAGTGATGCGACGCAACACCAACCGAACGAGGCCGCGGAGGATGACACGGAAGTTCCGCGAGAAGCGCGGCTGCTGCGAGATGCACACGGCAAACTCATCTTTATCGGAGACTGTGCGCCTCTGTCGTTCTTTCAATCTGTTCGGCAGGTAGTCACTAGTCGAGTGAGCCAGCACGCATTCGCGCCTCAAACTAGCCGTTATTCCGTGCTACAGAATGCACCCGCGCACCCGCCTCGGCCCGGCGGCGACGGCGGCACTTTGGGACAAACGGTCAGCGGCGCGCCGCAGGTGCATCCCGGGGACGTGGCTGGGGCTGTATCTGCGTACTTGTCCACGACTACAGGCATGATTGACTTGTTTGACAACTCGACGTTGCTCGAGGACTTTCTCCTCTGGGCCGACCAGCAGCAAAAGCCCCGAGACGGCGCTTCAACTATCAAATATCTAGTGCTGGCCATTGGGCGGTTGAGGGACGACGAAGCATTGGCACAAGAGTACTTTGAGTACGCCAAAAATCAGGCCTACATAGACATGAGCGCCGATTTGAGCGCCGAGACTGTGCAGTCCTTTGTGCTCATTACAATGTACATGCTTTGTTCCTGCCAGATCAACGGTGCGTTTTTGTTCTTTGGTATCGCGGCGCGCGCCGCCTACTCCATCGGCGTGCACCGCACCGAGGTGAATGCTCGATTCGGCCAGGCGATTCACCGGCAGCGCGACAATCTGTGGAAAAGCCTGCGCGCTGTTGACCTCTTTCTCAGCACATTCATGGGCCGCCCGCCCGCGACCTCGGATATTGACTGCACAGTGTCCTACCGTACACTGGATGATGACGGGAACGAGGTTCTCGACCTGCTCAACGCGTCGGTGCAGATTCTGCTCATCACGGAATCCATTGTCATTGAAATCTACTCGCGGCGGAAAATCTCCTTGCAGCTCACCGAGGGCATCTCGCTGCAGCTGAGGAGCTGGTCGGACCGCTGGCTCCAGCAGCTCAAGGAAGTCATGACGCAACCTGGTGCCATCGACAACGAGGCTCAGATAAGCGGCGCGTGCCAGGTACTCTCTACATATTACTACTCGGTCATGCTCGTATCGCGGCCGTTTCTCATGTATGAGCTATATCGGAGGTTGTCGGACGCGCCGCACGGCGCGACGGCGAGAGGAGCCGCACTGCCGTCAGCAAAGACGAAGCTGGCGGATGCTTGCATCGACGCGGCCAGCCTGATGGTCGATCCGGTGCTCGATTTAATCGAGCAAAACGTGCTGAATCATCGCGCCCCCATGCTGGTCTCTTGGCTTTTTGCGGCGTCACTGGTTCTCGGGGTTGGGCTGCTGGGCGGGTTCGGCAGGATCCTCGAAAAGTACACGCGCATGTCAATACAGACCCTGGACCACTTTGCGCAGACAGACGGCCACGCGGCGCAGTATAGCCTCATTGCCCAGTCGCTGCTCACGACGGCGCTGGAGGACCTCGAGCGCAGGGAGCTTCAAGAACGGATGCGGCGGACGGAGAGCTCGAGCCAGCTGTTTGGCCTCGTGCCGCACGATGCCCGCGCGTCGTTTGGTGGCAGCGGCAGCGGCAGCGGGAGCAACGCAAATTCGCCGCGCGAAACTGGCAGCCATCGCGCAGCCACGTTTGGCACGCCGGCGACGGCGGGACGAGCACCAAGCCTCGGCTCGGCACTCGCACCAGGAAGGGCCGAGGGCGGAACGCTTCGGAATAACCTGGCCGCGTCGCCCTCGCCATGGCCGACGCGCCGTAATAGCAATAGGCGCTTTGAACGAGACGTGCATTATGCGGGGGTGGCTGCTCCGGCGTCCCCTCGCATCGGAGACATTGACTCGGCGTTTCTGGGGCTGTCGGAATCGATGCTGCACACGCCCGACGCAGAGTACTGGAGTAACTCTTTCGGAGTCAATGAAGGGGATGGCGGCGCTGTCTCAGCGGTCAACTTGTTTCCGTTATTGGACGCCGGTGGCGGCATTGATCTTGCGCATTATTTCTGATGCCGCTATCAGTGAAAGCTCCATTCAGTTTTGATGGGCTTCGTCTATCTTGCGGCCCGGTCATGGTTACAGTTGAATAGTTGACTGCGACCTTCTAATCATTTTCTTCCTGCCGACGTCGGTTGAGGTTCGGAAAACGGGTGTTTGGTCTTGCTGAAAGCCACTCTCATCCGAAATTCCGAAGTGAACCTCCAATTCATGCGAAAGTGAAGCGCAACCACCAGATTTCGGAAGACGGCCTACTTCTTTGGCGACTGCCCTTTTAGGTGAAACGCTGTTTAGCGTTATATATTATTTGTTCAAAAAAATCGGAGGTATGGCGTCAATTATCATGAAACATCTGAAGACACTATAGAATCGCGATCCGGACGCAGAGCAGGGCCGAGCCGAGCCGGAGTCCACACCTATCAGGGCTCTAGATTATACAGCATGTCTTGATTCTTAAAGTCATTAATTTTGGCTCTGTCTAATTCTACTTTATTCATGACGTAGAAATGTTACAATTTTTTCCAACAACACATTAGCTCTATAGTTTCAGGGCGCCGCGTAGAATCTGCATAAATCTCCAAACATCCTCAAAGCGCGAATATAGAGGCACGGGGGCCACGCGAATCACGTCTGGCTTGCGCTTGTCGCAAAGCACACCATTGAGCTCCAGCGCAGCAGCAATGTCATCCAATAAGCCGTCGCGCAGCATGACGCTCAACTGCGTGCCGCGCTGCAGCGGATCCCGCGGGGTCAATACGCGGAATAGCGGTGCTGCTGCTGCTGCGCCGTCCTCGGCGTCGGCGAGGATACCGTCGAGGAGGTGCTCGGCGTAGGCGGTGAGCACGAGGGCTTTTGAGCGCAGGTCCTTCATGGTGGTCTTGTTGAAGACGGAGAGGGCGCCGGCGAGGTTGGCCAGCTCGAGGGCGGAGGGGTTGGAGGCCTGGAAGCCGCCGGCGCCGGCCGTGGGCACAAACTTGTTGTCCATGTTGAAACGGACCGACTTGTCGCCGCCGTACCAGCCCGTCAGGCGCGGACGGTACGTGGGCCTGTCGCTGCCGTCTTCCCACTCGACGCGGCCGTGGCGCTCGTGGATAAAGGCGCCGGCAATGGCGCCGGGCCCGGCATTGATGTACTTGTAGGTGCACCAGCAGGCAAAGTCGACGTCCCAATCGTGCAGCTTGAGCTCGACGTTGCCGGCGGCGTGGGCGAGGTCCCACCCGACGACGATGCCGCGCTCGCGGGCGTAGGCCGTGATCCTGGGCATGTCAAGGAGCTGACCCGAGTAGTACTGGATGCCCGGGAGCAGCAGGAGCGCCGTCTCCTCTGCGTGCTCGTCAATGGTGGCGAGGATCTTATCGGTGGCCATGTACGAGTTCTCGTCGGGCTCGACCTTGACCATGGTCTTCTCCGGGTCCAGGCCGTGCCAGGTGATTTGGCTCTCGATGGCGTAGTAGTCGCTCGGGAACGGGCGCCACTCGAGGATAATCTTGTAGCGCTTGGCGTCGGGCTTGTAGAAGCTGGCCATCATCATGTGCAGGTTGATTGTCAGGGTGTTCATGATGACAATCTCGCTCGGCGACGCGCCGACCAAGTCGGCCGACTTTTGGGCGCAGTCCTCGGCCATGTCCTGCCACTGCGCGAGCGGCGAGTTGCCCATTGTCTTGAAGTGGCCGTTGACGCCAATGGAGGCCCAGGTCTCGAGCTGCGCGTCAATGTACTTGCGAACGGCCTTGGGCTGCGCGCCCAGCGAGTTGCCGACAAAGTAAATGCCGACATCCGGGTCTTCTCCCGGGGTGCCGTTGGCAACAGCACCGTTTATCTGGGCGGTAGCTATCCCGACAATGCGTGGTCAGCAAAACGAGGAATTCTCGAAGAAATTTCGGGTAGTAAGCAAAGAAAACAGGCCGACGGCGTTTCTTTGAATCACATACATGGCAGGGTGCCGTCGAGGGCGCTTTTCTTGATGGAGGTTTTGGTAGGTAGGATGAAGTCGTAGCGGAGATGGCTCAGCTTGTCTTGCGAATCGAGCCTTTGTGCGAAGTCGAGCGAATTCGCGTTTGCTGGAAACTTGGCCGCGGCGCCGCCACGCAGTCGCTCAACGTAAGCAGGCAGATCCATGTGTGCGGTGTAGAGGAGGCGACGAGAAAGGGCACCAATTTGTAGGTAGAGAGGGTGGCGTGAAGGCGCAGATGATGCACGTAGGAATGAGGGCGCACGATTGAAGCAGCTGTGTAGGCAATGTCGCATTGCTCAGAGCTCAGAGACGAGAGGAGAGAAAAAGTGACGACTTTGAAAACCACTTTATGTCAATGACCCCTCTGTCGAAAGGTGGGGGAGAATTTACAGAAGATGGAGTTTTTGGGGAAACTTTGCACACATCCGAACTTCCGACATCCGAAATCCCGTGGCGCAGGGTCACGGTGTCGCGGCAGCACCCCCAAGTTTCTGCATCGCATCTCTTGGCACTGTTGTTTGTTCATGGTAGGTTGGACAAAGACGCCGAAAAAAAAAAAAAAGCAAACATTCTCGAACATCTTTGTCGCTTATGTTACTATAACGGTGATGGAAGATTACTTGCAGCCTCCCTCTTGTTCGGCAGCGTTTCATTGCATATATATTGCACCAACAGAAGGCGTCTTAAAAGCCGAGTGGCGGCGCCGGCTAGCGGGCGGCTCTGTTGTCCCGCGAAATCACCGTGTTCCTGCATAATTGCCCTGTGCGCCCTGACCGCATCTTGATCGATCAGCACCTTTTAGTTCGCCGAAAGGCAATTTAGGACAGAGGAATCAAAATGATTTTTTTTTAAAGTGAATTTGAACTGATAGCTGTACATGGCCCTGTGTAAAGCAGTACAAGCAAATAATCGCATGCATAATTGCGCACATATTCACGCGCGCACATCATTCTGTAATGCGGGGCTTGAAAACGATGAGACACATCGATTGACACAAGCGTGCCTATAAGGTGTCTTTCCGATCAACGTTACCTACTCCTTGTTTCTCCGCGCCCCTGCCGGGACCGGAGCAGCACTTGCCACTGAACATTTAGGCGCCCTCGGTCAGAAGCCGTTGGCGCGAGTCGACAATGCTCCCTCGGATGCACTAGCGGATGACGGATCTTTGTCGTTTCGGTGGGTTTCGCGGACCAGTAACGCCACTTATCCGGTACCCGGGCACGCCGGGGCTCGAGCAATGTTCAAAGCGATATGGCCATTTATTGCCCCATTCTTCACTTCTCCCTGACTCTTGGCCGTTTTAAATGCATGCCACTCCCCATCCTGATAGGACAAGCTTATTTCTAACCTCTATACATATGCCGCATCTCTTTTCGCAACTACAATTTCGTCTAATACATGTTCCGCAACCCTCTCAGCCTCAGTTCGCAACAACCAGCAGCCACCTCACAAAAGCTGCTGCCACCAAATACGAAATGTCACCACACGCCGTGCAATCGGCCCCAGGGTCGCCGCGCCAGGGTCTAGACTTTAATAAATATGCCGTTACTAGAAACGCCTTTCTACCCGAACAGAACCCGGCTCACGTCTTGTCGGACCCCTACTACGAACCGTGGGAAGCGGTGGCTCGGAATTTGGCTGAATTAATCGACGAGGGCACCATTCACGATGCGATACGCCAATTGCCGATCCTGTCGGTCGACAACCTGGTGTCCGAGGCGGAATGGCGCCGAGCTTACACCATGCTAGCCTTTTTGACGCACGCCTATGTATGGGGTGGTGATACGCCCGAAGAGGCAAGTTTCAGATGCCGTTGAAATGATTAAAGCCGACAAATATTTTGCTAACATTTTATTCTTGTAGATTCTGCCTCCATCATTATCAGTTCCATTCCTTCAAGTATCTGCTCATGTTGAGCTGCCGCCTGTGCTGACATATGCCGCGGCCAACCTGTGGAACTTTACCTGCGAGGGTGACGATTTCACCGACCTAGACAAACTCAAGCTGTGCTTCTCATTTACCGGCACCGAGTCCGAGTCATGGTTCCTCCTCATCAGCGTCGCCATGGAGGCCAAGGCCGCCGGCATCCTGCAAACCATGGCCACGGCCCTCGAGGCCGTCAAAGCCCGCGACTACGACGCCGTCACCCGCGGCCTGGAGGCGCTTCGCAACTGCATCGACAGCGTGTCCCAGCTGCTCGAGCGCATGTACGAAAAGTGCGACCCCATGACCTTTTACCACCACATCCGCCCGTTCCTGGCCGGCAGCCAAAACATGGCCGCCGCCGGCCTGCCGCGCGGCGTCTTCTACGACGAGGGCGACGGCCGCGGCGAGTGGCGCCAGCTGCGCGGCGGCAGCAACGGCCAGAGCTCGCTGATCCAGTTCTTTGACGTCGTCCTCGGCATCGAGCACAGCGGCCACGGCGACAAGAAGCACGCGAGCTACCACGAAGAGGTGCGCGAGTACATGCCCGGCCCGCACCGCCGCTTCCTCGTGCAGATTGCGCGCATGGGCAGCATCCGGGAGCTGGCCATGGTCGCGCCGCAGACGGACGCCCAGCAGAGGCTGCGCGATGCGTACGCGGACGCGACGGCGGCGCTGACGGCGTTTCGCCAAAAGCACATTTCAATCGTCACGCGCTACATTATCCTCCCGTCCAAGAAGCCGTGGCAGGGCAAGAGGGGCAAGCAGAACCTGGCGAGCTCGTCGTCCACCTCTCAGAGTGACGATCAGCTGACTGGCACGGGTGGTACGGCGCTGGTGCCGTTCCTCAGAAAGGCCCGGGATGAGACGACGGAAGCCGGCAAACTGCAACGACGGCTGCAGAGCTAAGCATATCTCCTGCATTTACATACTAGATATTCACGACACGCAGCGATTATCATGATTTAGATTACATTATACAGTTCAATGTGACTTGATGTTTGCTTGACACACTGTTGACTTCAATGCTCGACACACTGTTGACTTCAATGCTTGATACACTGTTGACTTCAATGCTTGATACACTGTTGACTTCAATATCAATGCCGAATTTTTGACGGTTCAGGAGCCCGCGTCCGCAAATGACGAATTTCAAGGAAATTGCTGGAAATTCGAAGAATTTATATACATGTTGGCATCTAGTCATGTTACTTATGCAAAAAACTTCATCCATGCTTTTGGTAGCAGGATATTATCACATCATCATAGGAGCTATCCAACTTTTCATGCGTATAAACATCTACATGACCAAGGAAACAACCGCGGCCACAACGAAAGCGAAAATAATAGCCATGTCAAGGCTCGAAGCAGCGCTCCTGGAGCCCTTGGCATCGCCGGTACTGGAGCTGCCAGAGCCGGCCTTGCTGGTGCTCGTAGCATTATTGTCTCCTGTAGTCAGAGTTGAATCAGGAGTTTTCTTGTCCGTCTTAACCACACGCTTCTCGAGCTCATTCGTCAAGGGAGTATTGGCCTTGACGTAAGCCTCGAATATGTCAGAGTTGGTGTCGAGAGCAGCAGACCCGGTCGTGGGTTCAACAAGGTTGTCCCCGCCACGAGCGACAAAATCAAGTGTCACGACACGGTAATCCTGGCGGTCATCATCGAGCGGCTTGTCGCCAACGGAAACGCTAATGAGTTTACTGCCAGAGTCATTGTCCGGGTTGTACTGAATCTTGATGTTCTTTGAGATCTGGAACCAGGATGTCGTCTTCTTCTTGCTGAATTGTGATTCGCGAGAGACCCAGCCCTCGATCATCTTGCGCAGATCCTTGCCAGAGTAGGGAAGCTGGACAATGGCGTTGCCAAAAGGAAAAGAGGTGAGAATCGCACCGCGGGTAATGTTACCAGGACCAATAGTGGCTCGGATACCACCAGCGTTCATGAAAGCAAATTCGGCTAGCTCATCACCCGCATTCTTGGAAATATTGCGACGGTAGTCGAGCATGGCATCGGTCATGACTTGGCCGAGGAGACAGTCTTCCTTCTGGCAGTTGGTCTGGTCGAGCTCGTTCTTGGTAGTGCCAATGACTTCATTGCTAAATTCTTCAAAGGGCTTGCGCCAAGCCAGGACCTTATTCTGAAGCGATTTATCGAACTTTGTAGTGTTGGTCATGTGAATAGGCGCTCCGTGGTAGGAGAGAGCGCGGCCTTGCTTGTCAAAAGTTAGATCAATGGAGCCAAGATACTCGCCCCAGCGGTACGAGGTGACGATAAAGACCTCGTTGCCAGATTTGTCTTCGACAATGGTAGGGTATTTTCCAGCGGCGTTGGGCATGTCGCCGACAAGTGTGTGGCTATGCCCGCCAACAATGAGGGAAAGGCCTTCGGTATCTTTGGCGAGTTTTTGGTCCTCTTCGTAACCAATGTGCGTGAGAGCGACGATGCGGCGGATGTCAGTAGTGTTTCGAATCTCCCAGATAGCCTTTTGGACCTCGGTGGTAACATCGAGAAAGTTGGTTCCATTTCCCACGTTTGAAATGCCTTTTGTCGTCTCCGTCGTGGCACCGATGATGGCCAGTTTGTGCTTGTCAAAAATATGATAATTCTTGACAGTCTTGTTGAGAGCTTCATTTTCGGATTTGACGTTGCAAGCAACAATGGGAAAGGTCAAATTTTTCAGAAATTTGCCAAGCTCCTCGTCGCCGTTATCCCATTCGTGGTTGCCAAGGGTCATGACGTCAAAGTTGAGATTGTTAATGGTGTCGGCAATCTTCTCCCCACCATAGTAGGAGAAGAACAGAGTACCCTGAAATTCGTCGCCGGCGTTGAGGAGCAGGTGATCGGGGTACGTCTTGCGAAGCTCCTCGACCTTGGTCTTGATGCGTGCGTAGCCACCGAAGCAACCCTTGGAAGGATCCGTGCAGTCGGAGCCGGACTTGGCAAACTCGTCAAGGTGAGCGTGGACATCATTGACGTGGATGAATGCTGATTCAAGGTTAGTAGTGAGTGCTTCTGTTTGCGACAAAGAAATCTTGGCTTACTCATGTTGTAGTTGCCATCGCTGTCGATGAAGCGCTTGGAGAGATGACGTCTGCTGTAGAGCACATCCTCAGCAACGGCGCACGAAGCAACCCCGAGCGTCACGAGGATAGCAGCAATCTTCATGATGGGTAGTGCTGTGATGGAGCCGTCTACTGATGGCCGTGGAGGCAAGGCAAGGCAAGGCGCACGAGGAGGTGAAACAAACGGGCAGATGCGGCAGCGCAGCCGGTATTAATACCAGCAACCCGCAGGTCGATTGCACGCCAAGACAGCCGTGTCCAACCAACTGCGGCTCGTAGGCGACGCCGAATGATGCTTACAGGTGGAGAGAACTGGGTTTCGGGGTCGCAGAGCCGAGTCCTCTTGCTGGTGGCGGGCTGAAGTCGGGCTCGGCCGTTTCCTTAGTGGCTGCAGTGTGTTTGCGGTCGCCAGCTGCACGTGGGCAAATTCAGAGGGTCTCAGATGCACACTGGCAATTGGCAAGGTGTGTGGCACGTGGCATCACCGACTAATAATGATTACTCGAAGGTCAAATGGCGTGGAAAGTTATTACGTCTTCCCCGGCGAATCGAATCGTACTGTGGGATATCTATCCCATAGGCGCGGCTCATTCAGCTCAAGGTAGGCGATCAAGGTTGCACCATTCCGGCAGCCAAGGAGCGGCCGTTTGGCTCTGCTTTGCCAGCCCCGACATCATCATTATCATTGCATTTCTCGGGGTTTCAATTCTTTTCAATGCGTGAGTTCAACAAGCTCTCCTCTCCGGCCCTCACTGGGTTTCACTGGGAGCCAAGCCAGAGTTTCTTGGCAAAGGTATAGGCGTTAGTAATAGCCATTAATTCAGTGACTCCCCGCCCCATGTTTAGAGATAAACGGGCTAAAAACAGCATGGGGAAGCAGGTTATCCATCTGATCTTATGGATAGCAGCTTCAACAGCTAAGCGTCAGGCGCTCAAAAACAAGAGAAACGTTGACTTGATGTGTCCGAAGAGTACTTGCATAAACAGCGCGAAATAGGAGTCTCCTACGGATAGACTGTTTGCTTTTGAGTTTCTTGGTCAATCTGCAGAGTTATTACCTAGTTATGGGCCTTATGGCTGCCTCCCCCGAGATGCGGCCCGCTGTGGCTGCCCACCTAATTTAAGCATATTTGCGGGCGCACAAGCAGAGCTCAGATTGTAATAATTAACTTGGGTTTCATATGTTTCCTCCGCCTCGGGTTCACCGCCTTCGCGAGAACACATTCCTTGACATCTAAAGTGAGGGCTCCCATCACCTACTAACTCGAGTCTGCCGTGGGCTACACCTAATGTAGACGGCTTCCGACGGCCAATTGACGCTCAAGTTATCCCTATTCAAGTTTGGCAGAGGTCGTAGTCTTGGCTTCCCATCCGGCTCCGCCAGGTGAAACTCGTTGTGGGCAAACATGGCAACAACTGCAACTGCAATCTCAAGAGTTGCGACCTGACTGCGTTAACATGTGTTCGAGACGTATCGCGAGAATGTACCCTACCTTGGAGCCTACTATTCGGGTATAAGTTTGATGAATTAGGGCAACGAAAGCTCGAATAGACACTTACTGCAAGGGTGTAGACCAGAGCCCCAGGCAACGAATTCATGTGCTTTATTCGTGCCCTCTTCTCTGCCCGGAAGATGTCTAGCTGGCTCCCAATGGAAAGCGTTGGGGTATATTGATTCATCCAGATGGACACCATCCATTGCGTAAAACTGTCAGTTATCAATATTAATTCTCAAAGTAGGTCTTCCATAGCAGGGTAGTTAGTTACTGACCGCAAATGCTTTGCTCGGGACAACTTGATCGGTTCCAGGAATAATCACATCCTCATCAGAAATGTTCTTACGAATTGCAGGGCCGTACAAGTTAATTCGTAGAGTCTCCCGCAAGCAGACGTCGATGACGGGTAGCTGCGTGTCCCAGTCATGATACGGTATACGCTGTAAAATGTCAAGCACAGATTCCGCAGCGGTCCTGCGATGTCGAGCAATGAAAGCGTCTACCTCCGCCTGCACATTGTTGTACCACATTCTGTCATTGGCAAGATAGGAAAGAAGCCATGCGGAATTAACGCCAGTGTTCAAAAGGCCAGAGAACAGTATACCGATAACGCACTACATGGTTCGGAGTCGCGCCCCGGTTAGTCAAGCATTAGTTGCGAGGATCAGACTCACCTTGACAATCTCGAGATCGGTCTCACCCAAGTTCATTAGAAGTTGAAGGGCGTCCGTCTCATTGCGGCCGGTTCTGCGGCGCTCCTTCATCAAGCCCGTAATCACCCGGTGCAGTTTGAAGCCCGCCCACAACTTTGACAGCATAGACGGTAGCGGCCAGCCGGTAAACATGATTTGCAACAATGAGCAATCCTCCATGCTGGAGAACTGCTTTAGGGTAGAGTCTAGAAGCTCTTCGTCTTCAGCTATTTCATGGACGCCCCCTGTGCGGTGCGTCAGTTTGTAGACGAGGCGGTACATGAACGGAAAGATTGGCACTACAGCCTCGCGATCAGATAATCCGCCAAAGACAGCATCGGTATCCTCGAGAAGCTTTTGTAATGAGCTAATCAACCGTTCGCGCGTCAGGATCCTCTTAAACATATTGACCTGGCTGAGTGCCGGGTTGTCAATGTCCGTCTCGATATGGGGACTGGCCGCCAGCAAGATAGAATAGCTGTTTCTTCACGTTTAGCAAATACCGTTGATATGATAACCCAGAGTGATACTATGCATGCTTACCCTGCGCGTACATCAAACTGCCGTGCATTGAATAGGAGCGTTCTACCAGCTTCGCCTACCAAGCCCACAATAAGGTGCGGTCCGTAGTATAAGCTAAACGGTTGCCCTTTACGCCTTTTGTGCTGCTTCTCCAGAAATTTGCAACGTTGGAGATAAAAGTCGACCGAGCCGAGTATTGGCCACCCGCGGACCAGTTCCGGTGCATTCTTCGGCAGCTTTGGTCGCTGCCAGAGGAGGCTGACTATGGGCAGTAGAGCCGTGGACAGTATAACCACGGCAACAGCAGCGAACCACCGAGGGATGAGCCAACCGGCAAAGATGAACCATATTGTATCGCGTATCATCTCTGGCGTGAGAGAAATAAACAGATCTCTTGGCAAGCCGATTCTATGTATCTTGCTAAGAGGCACCAATCGACATGATTCCCCGCACAGCCTGCTGTAGGATTATATATGCATTGATGCGCCACACCTCGCATCAAATACATACGACGAATCATGTCGTACAAACGGGTAGATAGCTGCAATTGACTCGCCAATGTATGGGTCTAAATTAATGGCTGAGGCACCGGCCGCCGCCGAATCCGCGCCATACTTGTCTACCCATGTCACACAGAAGGCGAAGTACGGCTCTGAGATGCACAAGTAGTTATTCACGTTGCTCATGCTTTGGTTTCCCACTGCTTGAGCGTACATGTTCCTGCCAGCAATCGTTGCGCATTTGTATGGCTTCGATAGTACTGTATTGCTGACTCGCCGCGAGCTTGACTGTGCCAAACACGACATACCAGTAGTAGCTGTCACGGCCGAGGCTTGGGTTGTAAGCCCAACAGAGGGGCCGTGAAATTGCGGCCAAAACTGAGCCGGAGAGCCCGAGGTCACCGAGGGGGCTGCGATCGATGCGGTGACACACCCGGGTAAAGGATCATGAAGACGCTCGGACAAGGCCAGCATGCAGTGGCTTTCTGTCATCGACTGGCCTTGCAGAGACGTCTCTCGGCGAACTGCTTCGGGAGGCTTGTGTGACGACATTACTGTGATAATTTCATAGAGCCTTGAGGGAATATAACTGGGATTTTGATATAGTTCGATGAGGAGATGTGAGAAAGAGCCCCGAATACCATGGTTCGCGGCGTGGCAGGGTGGTTTCCTGAGCATCATTGGTCAATCATTATATGTGTGGGCTCGCGGCCGTCAAATCTGAGACTGCACGAATGGTCTAGGCTGTAGGTCATTCCAAGGGTCTCGGGGGATATTTGCTTCTTGCCGGAGTTGTGAGTTGTGGTGTTACACGATGGCATCACCATTTCTTTGGCATCCACTTTGGGTTCCCGGTACATGGAGTCAGCACCCCAGCATCCGAGTGCCACCGAGACATAAGAACGGAAGTGCTTTATTGCCTGGTGAGGAAGTGGCCCATCGGCTGTGGAGGCCGAGAGATGACTGGAAAGTGCCCTGCCGGTCCGGAAGGCCGAATCGGCATCTTTGAAAGGGAAGACGATGTGATTTGCACATTGTTTGTGTGAATCAGTTCTGGATGAGTCTACTTTCATTGATATCGATGTGAATTTAATTTCATTGGTATTGATTACTTTCTCTCACTTTGACAAGATTATGCTTCGGGGTTCCGTCGACGGAGAGGCTGCCCCGGTCGGCGTATCGTGGCGCTGTATTTCGGGTATGATACCAGTACGTAGGGCATGCCCGAACGTGGGAAGTGGCGCTGAAACTTTGCTGTAGCTGAGTGCATGGGGTTGTACAAGCAAGCACGCAAGCTCACCAAAAGGGCAAAAAATTATTCGTGCAGGAGAACACCATTACTTTTATGGTTTACGTATTTAAATCCCTTGTTTCAAGCTGAATAACTGAGTGCACATTCATCTGTGCCTCTGGCAACCTCTCTGTCGTGACGTAATGGCAGGTGACCCTCCTGCAAGCTCTAAATAGGCATAGTGGGTTTCAGGCTGTCGAGGCACGAGGTCTCGCTAACTCGAAGCTAAAAGGCACGGCCCGGTGTCCATTCATGTCTTGCAGCTTATTGTTCATGGGCATTGTAGCAGATTATTGCCGCTGGTCTGTTTCTGCGCCGGAACCTAAATCAGGTTGCAAAAATGGCAGGCTCGCGAGGCAAACAAGGACAATGTCCAAGATGCTGCCTACCCCCAACTTGCGTCAGGGTTGGTGCATGGCTGAGAGTCGAATCCATCAAAGATCGTCAAAGAAGTGCGCGACAAGTGCCTCCTGGGTCACAGCCAGCCTCCTTCCCTGCTTCTGACAGGCTAACTACTCATGTGATGCCGTCAGAGTTAGCCTCGCGACGTCTCCAGCCGCAACATGACAGCACAACACGTTCTCCTTGAACTCCTGACCTCTGCCAACAGCCTACCTATACGTTCATCTCTTAGTTTGCTACACTTACTCGCCGCTCAACCTATTCTCCCACGGGGTACAATCTCATTCTCCCTCCCACCACCTGACCCCTGCCTGGCATCGCCGTTTTCTCTCGTCGTAGCAAGCGCTATCACCCGTCGTTGCGAAGTAGAGTCACAACTCTACACTTGACACGGAAAAGACTGCCGTGTGGTCTCCCCGTCCTATTTCAGTTCGTGCGTGTCTTTGGGACGCGCTCATTTCTTCTGCCCACCATGAGCGAAGCAACCACTCAAGCCCGACATCAGCATTCGTCGAAGCAACCACAGGAGCAGCAGCCTTCGTCAAATCAACCACAGGAGCAACCACAGGAGCAGCAAGAACCCATCTTTAGCCCATCGGCCATTGCCGCCGAGATGCAGAGACGAACACGAAAGCAAAACAACTTTGACCAGATCGAGGCCGACCTGCCCGACCCCAAGAAATTCGCCGCCGCCAGTGCCGATGCCGTCACCAGCCTCACGCCAAACTTCACCACCCGCTTTAGCCTCGCCGGCGCGCTGGGCCTTGTCAGCCGCCTCAAAGCGTTCGGTGGGCGCCCCGTCGGCCCTGGCGACGTCGTCTGGCTGCTAGACAACACGGCGTACAAAACGGGCGGCCGCTTTCCCTCGTCGTGGGAGGCCGAGTTCGTGGCCGTCGTCTTTGAGGAGGCGCCGCACTCGCACCTGGTCGATGCCGTGGCCGGCGTCGCGCGCGTGCTTGGCATCGCCGACAACGCTGAGGAGTACAAGACGATCCAGGAGCGTCTGTTTCCGTTTGTGTGGGATGTGCGTGTAGCCAAGACACTATCGGTCTCGCAAAAGGGCGCGCGCCGGTCCATCAAACTCGGTCCCACGGGCTTCAATGGCCTCAGCGCCAACGTGAGGCAGGTGGCCAGCCGTTCCAAGGGCGCTTTGATCGATGCCACGGCCGGTCGTCTTCCAAGCGGGATACCGGGCCTGCTGGGCATGCAGACCTATTACGCTGGGCCGTCAGGCTGGGGTGTCATCTCAGGTATGGACCGAGGAAGAGCCATAAGCGGCCAAAAACTCCCTTTTGCTAACGTTCCTCGCAGACATTGACGACACCATCAAGATAACGACGACAAGTGATCCCATAGGTATCCTCCGGGAGACCTTTGTGGAGGAACCGCGAGCCGTGCCGGGAATGCCGGAGCTCTATAAAGCGATTAACGGCATCCTGAAGACAGACACGCCCTGGTTTTATCTGTCAGCATCGCCGTACAATCTATACCCTTTTCTGCGCGAGTTTCGCGACGCTTACTTCCCGCAAGGGACCTTGATCCTGCGCGACACGAGCTGGAAGACGATTGCAGGACTGTTGGCGGCCTTGACGATTGGCACGGAAGAATACAAGGTGGACCGCATGAAGAAGATTCACAAGTGGGTGCCCAAGCGCAAAATGATTGTCATAGGCGACTCGACGCAGTCCGACCCCGAGGCCTATGGTGAAATGTAAGCGGTAGCGACTGCCTTGTGCTCCTTTTGGGGAGGGGGGTTACTGTTGCGTGCACAGGGTCTGCTAACACGTGAGACTGGACAGATATCGCACGTTTCCGGGCTGGATCCGGCTCATACTCATTCGCAAGGCGACTGACACGGCCATGTTCGGAGTAGGGGAAAAGAATGAGCCGGCGCGCTTCGAGAAGGCGTTCAAAGGCATTCCACGGGAGGCATGGCGTGTGTTTGAGGATCCAAACGAGTGTGTCGAGATTGTGAGGGCCAAGGTCCAGCAGGGCTGAGTGTAAATACTACGGTATGCAGGTGACGGGTCGTGACTTTACGGCGGCGGTGTTGGTGAATATTGTTGCATTGTAGGCGCGGTGGCGTTTTTTTCCTTCTTCTCTTTTTTTTTTGTTGCGGTTGTTTGTTTCTCGAATACAGTACATACAGAGGATGGAAAGAGAATGATTATGGAATTATCGAAACTTGTTGACTTGGACATGTTCGAGAGCAAGTCAAAAATCACATGTAGAGCGGCGTCAGGGCACCACCTGCAGGTAAGCTGCATTTGAGACAGCGAGGCAAATGGGATGCAGACGCTTGCAAGCGTCTAACTATTAGGGCTAGGTACCTAGGTACGGAGCCTGTGGTGGCCTGATTAGCGGGCTCCAGTGAGAACAGAGCACAGTGCCCAAGTTGGCAGTCAATACGGATACGGAAGTTCTGACTTCAGCCCACAGGAGACGGTTCCATGTTCTCTTGTATGCTGCTGCAATGCGCAGGTAATAATCAGGTATGGGATCGGACTACGGAGCGGGATGACGCAGCAGGCGCAAATTTACCCCAAGGCCAATTATTAGTCCAACGGACACGGGATGGGGTCGGATGCGCGAGATTTCCCGAAGTTGAGAGGGGAAAATGGCCAGCTGCTGTGCATGTCATGTCGAAGATTTTGCACGTGTCAGAACGCGTCGCGAGGAGGGTTTCCAAAAATTGGTCTGCACAAAAACGAGCGCTTGGCTGCAGTGGTCAGACGCTAGCGAGACCGACGTGCAGGTAGTATTAGTACAGTCTTACTGTCCTTGGGTAAATGAGATTTAGATTGCGGAGAAAAGAGGAAAACCATAAGCCGATGGACGATGTGGTTGGAAGAAGTTGGGCCATCAGGACACTGGGCGGAGATGTGTCGCGATGATGTGCGATGGGATCAAGGTGAGCCGCGGGCGATGACGTTGAAGTGGCCGTGAGCTTGGGAAACAAAGATTTTCATTGGATCATGTGTAAAATAAGCATATAGCCGTTGTTTCTTTATTGTCCTTCTTTTTTTTTTGGACGGTTGGGGGAAGGGCGGGGAAGGACAAAGGATCTGCGGCAGTACATTGAGTTCACTAACTGAGTTGGCTGAGGTTGCATTTGATGCTGGTTGAGATTCTTTCATGCGAGGCTGGCATGATTGTCTCATGCGCAAGCCTCCGGTTCTGCCCGTTGGGGGGATGAACAATTTGTAGGGATGGGCTGTTTTTGGGGTACATGTCACATGTTTTGGTGTTGGTGGATATGACGTGAAACAATCACGACAAAAAAAATTCAAAAAGACATTAGAAAAGAAGAAGAAAATACTCGAGTAAAATGAGTGTGTGCGTGAATGCGGAAGATGAATCAATTAATAATGAAAATGGCCTTTTCAACTAAATATGCTTCATTCTCACCTCTTTTCCCCGCTCATCGGCCGCGGGGAAGCCAGAGATGGAAGGAGAGGCGCGAGATGGCCGCTTTTGATTGGCCAGAGATAAGGCGTTTGCAGGCTGGTTCCGACCCTCGGAGGAGCCAGCCGTACCAACCGATATCTTTTGGCGCTTTTGGGCTGACACTTGCGACTCGTCCAACAAAAAAAAATAGAGACAGACGGACCCGAGTCCACACAATTACTTTACCAATGGCGTGCTTTTCTCCACCGAACCGAACCGCGTTGCATTGTAATTAGCTACAGCCTGCAGGTGCCTGACTATTTTTTTTTTTTCTACCTGCGCGTATGTGGCGTTCGGTAGGTAGGCTTTTTTGACTGACAGCTCGTGCTACATACCCCGTGTCCCCGTCTGTCCCTTCCTTGCTCCATCTCAAAAGCCCGAACCCGAGAAATTCCCAGAATACATTATTTATCCCATGTTCCCTCCCGCTTCCCTCCCGCACCCTCCGCCTTCTTTTCTAATCCAATATTCATTTCCGTCGCCCCTCGAATTTGTTCATAACTCTCATCTCTCTCCTCCTCCGTACGCCTGCCATTCTCGAACCCACCCGCAAGTAGCCGCAACCAGACGACCCACTCCGCGCCGCACGACTTTCTTCGTCCACGTCCCCGTCTTCCACTTGCTCTTCACACTTTGGCTTCCTCGACTTGCGGAAGCCACCTCTCAAATTCTTAAAAACCAAAACTCCACCGCATACACGCCGCAACAATGTTCACCACTCGCGCTCTCCGCCAGGCTGCCGCTCACGCCGAGCGTCAGCCCATGATCAAGTTCATCGGCCCTCGCTCCATTCCTTGTACGTTAACTGCCTGAGGCTAGCTTCCTCTGCGCTGTCTGCCCGTCCACCAACTACTTCTACCCTTCCTTACCAGCTCGCTAACCTCTAAATCCTCCTCGCAGCGTCCATTGACCACTCTCCCAAGCCTCACCCTGCCTCGCCCTCTGGCAAGCTCCCCGACGGCTTCGCTGCTGACGGCTCCTCCCGCCACACCAGCTTCAGTTCCTACCGCGACCACGCTCAGCAGCACGGCCCCCTCCAGAAGACGATTCGCTCCGGCGAGGCTGGCATCGGCGGCATGTCTGGCAGCGACCTCGGCTCCGTCGAGGCCCCCAAGGGCGTCTTCTTCGACATTTCTGAGCTCCCTGCTCGCTTCCGCCGCCAGCCTATCAACCTCGCTGAGATTGAGGCTGTCGAGTCCGGCGGCGCCGCTCTCCTGGGCTAAATAAAAGACGCGCTCCGCTCGCTTCCTTCCTCGACCGGAAGACGAGTGAGCCTGGCCAGAGCGGATTCGACGCACTTACAAGCCGTAGACACAAAACGGATTTAAGCTGCGTCGTTTATTCCCCTCGACCGCAAAACTTCCTCCCATCCCTAAAAGTTCTTCCCCCCCAACCAGCGAGAAGCCGGCCAGCAAACATCAACTGATCCTGGCCAATTGACCGGTACCCAAGCCCGCCTGGGCACTATACGTGTACGACGACGAACTGCTCTTTCGAATCAACTATATATATACAAAAGTTTTTGGCTTGGAGTGCCGCTGTGGGCTTTGTCAATATGTAATGCAGAATGCCGACGGAAGAGGGCTTCTCGACATTGCGGACAAGTCGCGCGCAATCCCTTCTTTTCTTCATGTCCGCGGAGCATACTATGCTCTCACTTTTCCGAACATTGATTTTCTCACCTCCTTCTTTTCTTGGTCGAGAAATCTCCCCGAGCATGCTCCCACTCTCTAGCTGCCAGCGCGCCGGCTGAGGTTACCACCTGGGTCAATGGCTCTATGCCGGTTCTCTCGGCTGCTACAACAGCGGCTGCGTCAAGCTCGCCAACTACCATCACTCTCGTTCAGTGTCGGGCCCGTTGGTTAGCAGCGACTCAGCAAAACGGTCGAGTACCAATTCGAGCTTCACTGAGTCTTGTACAAGTTGGCTCGTCATGGTTTACATGTGCAATCTGGCTACTAGTATGCGTTTGCTCTCAGATTGTTGAACCGCTTAGGCGATGGATAGAAAAGCTTGCTAGTAGAAGCGGTGAAGTTTATGGTAACGCAATACAAAAAAAGTGAACAAACATATAAAACATGTCCCTCCTTCGCGGCTTGTGGACCGACTTTGCTACTGAGTGTACACATAATAGAGGGGCGAGGAGGATATGTACTCTTTTTGCTACGCCAGCGCGTTAAACAGTCAATATCCATCAAACAAGTGACACCAATCCTCTGCGTATCCCCGGCCTGGCCGACGCTGCACAGCAGTGAGGCGGTGACGGCGAACGACGCAGCATCAGCAGCAAGTCTGACGCTCCAGAGCGATATCATACAAGCACGTGTCACCCCTCTAACAGATGCACTGCCTTACCTTGGCGCGATCGGATCTGCGGCAGGTTGTCGGGAGAAGTCTTTTCGCAGTGGCGACCCTTGAAAGCCCTCTTTTGTCTCGTATGACGATGAGACATGGGGCGTCCCTGGGTCGTTGAAACCCAGCCTCTCCGTAATCGAAGTGGGTGGCAAGTCTCTGGCGTGTTGATTGTCGGCTAAGATGTAAATTGTCTCTGAGAAATGTGACCGTGTGAGTCCATGGCGAGTACGCTCGTTTGCAGAAAAAAGAGTAGATACATTGGCCAAGGTACACCAAGGAAGGAACATGCAACCGTTCCTGCTGGCAACTTGGCATTTGGCCAAGTCAAGAGGCCGACAATACAATCAAGTTTCTCTGCTGATGAAGTCAGATGTATACAATACACGTATAAGGAAAATGGGAAATGAAAGTGATGGGGTAGGTAAGGGAAAAGAAGAATCTGGGGAATAGAGAGAAGATGGAGAATGCAGATAAGATGGAGAAAACAAAGATGGAAAGAAGATTGGTAGATCAGAAACAAACTCTGGAACGAAGTAGGGTAGATATCGTATCGTTTTAGTGAACTGTATTCTGCCATGACTTATTGACCTCGTTCCATATCATATTAGCTCGGTGTTCGGTTCGTTGACAAATGTATGCATGTTGCCTATGTGCATGTCAGTCAAAGCATCGTCCAAACACGCGGGGTGCAGAGGGCGTTTCTGCTCCTGTGTCTTACTCAATTGCACGTAGACAAGATCATTGTCACTCATGTCTTTGACCCACCCCTTTGAAGAAGCAGGTTGTCTTGGATTGCCAATGACACCATCTTGACCGCAACCAGCCTGCACAGACAGAACTCGTGATATCGTCCGCCGCATCGCATGATTTTCCCGGCGCGGGCGCGACGGGTCCCAGGGTCATTGTTGAACTCCATGATGGTTCACATGATTGACAGAGCCCGAGTACTTACACCGGGGAAAGCCCCCTTGCTTCAATAACAACAACAACAACAGTACGTAATGTGTTCAGTTCCCAGCAAAACTCGGACCCCGTAAATAAGACCGACTCACGCAATACGGCAGCCCATCATCTGCCGACGTCTGCAGCCTCACAGCCTCCTTGTCTCGCCCCGGATCCGACTCCGCACCCCTTGCCTTGCCTTGCCTTGCCTTTTGCCTCATCCAAGACCGCAAAAAAGTGGTCTCAGGCTTGGGCCAGTAGCTCGCAGAAGTGTCTCCAATGTCCCGGCAAGACGCCCAAGATACACCACCCCTCCCCTCCCGGTATATCTCTTCTCGCCCGTTCCATCATCCAACGACATTTCCCGTCATTCAGACGACGACAAGGGGGTAATCCACAGCTTCCACACGCCTTCCATGACAAAAATGCGGGGTAAGGTTTTGCTATTCCAGGTCCATCTTGCAGGAAAACGTGCACGGTATGTATTTCGCCTCGCTCCTAGCTCACAAGGGGGCTCTTCAGCTGGTGGCGGACACGACTCAGGACTTGGCAGAACGTGGCGTTTTGTTTCTCTCCCCTCTTCCTCCTCATGCCCTCCTCGCGCCCCCCTCGCGCCCTCTTAGCTTTCTATCTGAAAAAAAGGAGCGGAATCACCTTCCGCGAGCTTGTTGAAAGACAAACCCGATCCTGAGCGTTCGTGCCAGAGGCGCCGCCGGCGTCGACGAGGCGTTGGCTGGGGGAGGGGCGGTTCTCATGGAACGCGCCATGGAAGGCGAATAAGAAGCTTCCCCTTTCTGCTTGGGGAGGATCGACGACTCTCTAACTCAAAGCGTCTTCTTTCCCTCGTTCTAATGATCTTGTTTGGCGGCTTCTCTCTCGCCTTGTAAAAGTTTAATGGCGAGAGAGTCGGCCCGCGACAAGCCGCAACTTTTTAACATGGCCCTTCATCACGTTTGCCTCGAGCAAGATTGGATGTTTCAACGGATCCCTGCAATGAATGGAGAGGGCGTGCATCTAAAGAGCACGCCTCAAAAGTTCCATTGCCCAAAGGGAAAAAAATAAGCTTGGCCTTCAAAGTGCCTCATAGCAAGGGGTTGTTGTCGACCGAAACTGTGCTACATCTGCGTGGCGCAGGGTACCAACCGTCACAGGTGGTGAATAATCATCTAACATGGCGTGCAATGCGACCAAATCCGCCTAATAAAGTAGTTAAATCTTGGCCGTCCGAAATGGACACCGCCATTATAACAGATAATTTTAAAGTGAAATATAAACAACAGTCCACTGCGTCTGCAATGCGCAACGTGCTGCTCTGCTGCATGCATCGGTGGGTAGTGGAAAGCACTTTGGCCCAAATACGACAGCGAGGACCAATAGTAAGAGTCCCGAAGAAAAAGAATCATTTGCCTTGAGACGGACAACATGCCTGGCCAATCAATACACTTTTACGTAGCTCCGAAGCCACAGACACTTGGCGGACGCACCGACGCTCTCGACACCACTTGACCATTCCCCCGCGTCTTTTGATGTGTGGTCGTCTGGTGGGAAAAGGGGTGGGGGGACAGGGATATCTCATGATGCGAGTGCAGATGCCTCTTCTTTGTTATGCCAATGTGAAAAGACGGGGGATCTGGCTGCTTTCGCCAGCCCGAGACAAATCAATGACTTTGCGCCGCCGCAAAACGAACACCCGATGCCCGCAGCGTTTCTGGGTCCCGCCTGCCGGGCAAGTCGTTGCAGAAGGGGTTGCGGAACTTGCGATTCATCCCATCCGCTGCAGGCAGGCAGGCCAGGCAGGCAGGCAGGCATGCATGCTTGAAAAAAAGCCACCGCCGTCGCTGGCGGCATAAGGATAGCGTCAGGTTGATGCAGACAAGTCTCCGTGGCGTAGTTTTTGGGAGCCCAAGCAAGCTGCGGGCAAAATAAATGTGGCGTACAAAATGTGGCTGCCCCTTGCGAAACAAAAGCCCGCCATGGTCCGTTCCCCATTTCTCTTTTGGCACTCCGATTCCGACTTTACTCACTCCGCGTCGATAACCTCAACTTGAATCTTTCAAAGGCCTCTCGTCCATGGCTTGAGAACCATGTACAATGTCGCTTGCAAGAGTCTGGGGAAATGCTCCATTCAAACCGAACCCGCAACCCGCAAAACCCTCACCGCTCCATACCCATACAACAAGGCCCGCAAGATCGTTGGTGGATACGGGGTAAGTGGATGGTACCAGTATTTGCCTGGTCTTCAAGGCTCTAGCTAGTTAGCATGACGGGATGGCAAGGCTTGTTCATGTGTCTTGTCCGTTTTTAAAAAGCTGTGGGTTTCTGATCTTTCTTGTCCTAATCGGCTGGTGGGCTGTGCTGGGCCACTCTCGTCAATCGTATTTCCCACGTCTTTTGTCCTGGAGGTTTCGGCCTCATCGCCCTATTGTTTCGTAGACGGGCCGGTGCAACGGACAAACTTATTGCGGTCGCTCTCTCTCTCTGTGAAGACAAGTGTTTTGGTTGGCACCATCCGTTATAGTTGGCTGCAGAAACTCTCGGAAATTTTGCAGCCTAAATTGTAAAGCCACTTACAACTTGTACCACTTTCTCGCAGGACGGACCACTAGTCAGGTAGACATGCTACGTTGGCTGAGGGTACTTCCGTATTCAACCTTCTTTGTCTCTGCTGCTCCAACTTAGCCCAGTCGATTTATTCGCCACACGCTGAGCAGGTTCTCCGGTATGGGACCCGAAACGGCCGAAAGGTTGCTGATCTCACCGTTTTCGAGTGCAGACCAATTCGTCTCGTGATTGAATCAAGCATCTTTAGGGCAACAGTCTAATAAAAGCGTAGCGACGGCGCCTCTTTTCCAGCATATCATAGGTCAATGAGAGAGCCTTGTCCAACCAGTAACGGCGTCGTCAAAACTTGCGCAACTAAATCTTCATTCGTTCAAATTGGACCCGTTGTCGCAGCTTAGGCTGTTGCCGGTGGCCTCGGGCGCGGGTTACAGATACATACACGCTGATATGCGCCTCACGGTGCTCGAGGCAGCCACGCCGCACTACAAAGCCTGGCGCGCCGCTGAGCCCCATCAATATCCCGCGTCGCATCATGGACTGCATCCGACTCGACGAACATCCACTACCGTTTACCAAAAGATAAAACCATGGCCAGAGCGTCTCGTTGGTTATCTTTACCCACTTGTGCCGAGGCCACTCTGCGAGTCTGCATTGGCTTTGTAGTTCGCTGAATGCCCTTATTAATGACAGGGAAGAGTGCGTCTTTACTGTGCCAGTTGCCACTTATTGGCCGAGTTAACCCCTTGGCCACTCAACCACTCAAGAGCTCGGCGCCGTTTTCCCACTTTCAATACGATAGACACAGTGGGTGTAGCTTTCTATGTAACTATAGCCTTGGCTGATAAGCGGCCAAGCTTGCTTTTATGTATGTACTCCGCAACAATGTAAACGACTTACCGCGCATGGAGATAACAAGTTAACCACTACAATTCGTCTTGAAACATGAATCACCATCGCCGAGATCACATCTTGCAGCACCTCGTGGTGGCTTGCTATTTTAGGAGCCTTAGGGAAAAAAGCGACGCGTTTCCAGCCTTCGCTCAACTAAAATCTGTCCCGTCTGGCCAGTTGACACGTCGACTGCAAGCCTCGAGGCCTTGGCTGTTAGTCTGGTGTGGCCGCCAAGTACGGAGTAGTTAGACCTGGGAACAAGGTTTGGTCCTCGGATAGTGTGCGTGCCAGCCTGGTCGTCCACTGGGACAGCTGGGCCTCATCATCTGCCTGGGTGGCGCTTTTCCGACACGTGAGAAAGCAGCCAGAATGTGGCGCAGATAAAGCATGTCGAAGGATTCCTTAGCTTGCAATTCGCTCCGCAAAGAGGAAGGTAGAGATTAGCAGAAGGCAGTTGGAAGGATGCATAGAACACACCCTATTGAAACCTAATCAGGCGACTATCTCGCCCTTCTCCAGTGTTGCCTCGCTGATCTGTACCCAAATTGCAGCCGCTACGAATGGCCCCTTCTTTTGTTCGACTTTTGGGGGCATAGCCCCGAATGGGTTTGTTGCAAAGACCTTGCTGTAGAAATGAGCCCAGCCGCGACCATTCGAGAGCTGAAGCAGATGCAACCATCGCGAATGCTCCCCTACATCGCAGCAAAGATGCGGGGGCCAGAAAATGGGTAAGGATAAAACCCCAGAAGCCTCAAACAACGCGCCAACAAAGCGCGCTATCGAGAACCCGAAAGGCCTTTTTCAAGGGCATTTGCCATTACTCTTAAGTGCATACCCCCGGCAATGCCGTTCCCCGCAAATGTGTCGATTGGCTCCAGAAACAAGTAAGCGTGTCCTTGTTGCAGAGCGCGACTACCTGTTTCTTTCAGTTAAACGCAAAACAATGAGAGATTGTCTTGCTACAGATCACTCCGTAATTTGCCTCAACGTGAGGCTGTCCAGCTTTCTTCTGCCAAAAGCAAAATCGCTGCTACACCGTCCCAGCTGACCGCCGAATAGCTTATTTCCCGGATTGTTGTAGTGACCTCAGCCACTGAAAGATCACTCTCGGGACGTATGGTAAATGGCGTTTTTATGCTGACGCCGCCCTTCAAACCACGATTCCGTTTTGGGGTCTGTCGTCCGGACTGGCGTAATCTGTGCGCGGGGGTCAATCCAGCCCATCAATGATGGCGTCGGCGGAAGCGTCAGGTGGCTGTGAGAGTAACTACCCCAAGCTAAGTTTACTCCGTGGCCGCCCAGCAAGGCAAGCTACGAGATGCCGCAGGCGTATGCACACTAACGCGAACCCGGCATCTTGAAGTCGGAGGACTTTGTGAAAGCGATGTTGGCATCTGTCTTTGCGCTGCACTGGCAATGGAGAGGGGGAAGCAACTGCGTCGATTGAACCAAGTTCCCCTCGCCCCGTCTGCCACACCAAACTTCAGCTCCCAAATCGCCTTTGCTGGCGAGGCTGCCAAGCTGCTTCATGCCCCAGTTCACTGGTAACTTTGGCTAGCTGCAACTAGGTGAAAAACGGGAGCGGGGTTCACTGCCTCGTGGAATTCCCTTGTTGCTGTTGCAGCGTTGCCAGGCCCTACCTACCATTTCTGTGGTGCCAAGATCTGCAGTGTCCAGATGCTAAATCCAGCAAGCCATGGCTCTCACGACCCAGCGCCCGTAGTTGAATACAACAGCCAACGCCGCAAGTCACCTCGCTGAATAACCGTCTTTTCTGTTCAAGAACGTCGTGAAAATTATCCCTTTGGCCTTTGGGGACTTTGGGAGGAGTCAGCGAGACTATCAGTAATCAGTGAGCCATTGTTTATCTCTGCATTGACTGCTTATCGTGCAACTGGCTAGTTAGAGGACCCAGCGCCATTGTCAATCAAGGAGTACTGATACGGGTGGCCCCGTCCATTGTGGTCTACCACGACGCCGCGGGCCTTCTGGAAGGGCTTTTGTGTCGCTCGAGAGTGTAGAGAACACCACGCTATAGCTTCTCCCTGGGTAGCAATAGCCATGTTCTTTTTGGGCAAAGAATAATGAAGCCGGAGACGTATCGACGGCTTGCCGCGGGAAGTTGGCATTGTGATTGACCTCAGCAACCAACTTCGATTTGTCCTTTGAATGCCACCACCACCTCCAGCCGTCTCCAAATTTGACTGCCACACCCCCCTCCCCCTCCTCTCACACCCCATTTCCCCATGCGCGCTTCCAAAGTCCCCCTCCCGAGTCGACATGGTCTCTGATTGTCTGGCCTCTTGGCTTCAACGCCACCGTTTCCAGGTGCCCCAGTCTGGCCTCATTAGCTCACGAGCCGACTCGGGAGCAGTATGACAGAACTCTGGGAGGGCAACTTTCTTGCATGCATGCATTCATTGCAGCGTTGTCCGACCCTCCCAGCCAAGCTTCCAGCTTCCCGTCGGCGCCGCCGTTTAAGAAGCGCATCCCCCCCAAGACTTCCCTGATCGAATTTCCTTTCAGATCCTCTTCATCATTTTTCGCTTCCATTTGCCTCCCGCTCCCGTGCATCGCTGCATCTCCTTCCCTATCCTCTGTTGCTCTTCAGTCGCTGGGAAGCACAGAACCGCCCGTCATGTCTGGTAAAGACGGCGTTGTCTCTTCTGAAAAGGGCGAGGCTATTCCTGAGTATGAAGGCACCTCTCATGTTCTTCCCAAGGAGGCTGGTGCTTCTTACTCCGAGGAGAGCTTTTTGACTCGCAACGGCCTCACAATCGATTCCTTCAAGCCGAAGCACTATGGCCAGGGCATTGTCGAGCTGGAGCGGCCGATGAAGGCGCGCCATCTGCACATGATTGCCATCGGTGGCTCCATCGGTGCTGGTTTTTTCGTCGGTTCCGGTGGTGCGTTGTACAAGGGTGTAAGTGATTTCGTGACAGCGCGGCCGTATTGATCCGTGCGGTTTGCGATGGGTGTGGCGCTGCACCTTCCCGTAATGAGCTCAAAGCGCTGACATGCATCCGAATGCCAGGGTCCCGGTAGTGTCTTGATCGATTTCTTAATCATCGGTGTCATGATGTTCAACGTCGGTATGTTTTCATTCGTTGCACCGAGTTCGTACTTGTGCCAGTGCTGCCTTGGACTCCGGAGCAATCTATTGCGTCGCTCAAAGCAATCGCTAACGACTTCGTCTCGGTAGTCTATGCTCTCGGTGAGCTCGCAGTCATGTACCCTGTCTCTGGTGGTTTCTATACCTATTCGACTCGCTTCATCGATCCTTCTTGGGGTTTCGCAATGGGATGGAATTACGTCTTCCAGTGGGCCGTCGTGTTACCTCTCGAATTAACAGTGTGTGGTATCACCATACAGTATTGGGATGAAAATACATCCCTTGCTGTGTGGATTGTTGTCTTCTTGCTTCTTATCGTCATCATCAACGTCTTTGGCGCTCTTGGGTATGCTGAGGAAGAGTTCTGGGCTTCTACGTTCAAGCTTGGAGCCACTGTTGTCTTCATGATCATCTGTCTCGTTCTGGTGCTCGGTGGCGGCCCAAAGAGCGGCGCGTACAGCGAGTATCAGGGAGCCAAGCTCTGGTATAACCCTGGTGCTTTCAAGAACGGGTTCAAGGGCTTTTGCTCTGTCTTTGTCACCGCCGCCTTTGCCTTCTCCGGTACTGAACTGGTTGGTCTGGCCGCTGCGGAATCTAGCAATCCCGTTCGCGCTCTTCCCGGCGCCATCAAGCAGGTCTTTTGGCGAATTACCCTCTTCTATATCCTTGGTCTCTTCTTTGTCGGCCTCCTGATTAACTCGGAAGACCCGTCGCTCCTGTCTAACTCAGCCTATGCTGACGCCAAGGCTTCACCATTCGTTCTTGTTGGAAAGTATGCCAACCTGAAAGGATTCGATCATTTTATGAACGTTGTCATTCTTGTCTCCGTCCTTTCTATTGGTGTTTCTGGCGTTTATGGAGGCTCCCGCACGCTTACTGCCCTTGCGCAGCAGGGATACGCGCCTAAGATCTTTAGCTATATCGACAGATCCGGTCGTCCGTTGTTCTCGGTTCTGATCCTCATTGCTTTCGGTTTCCTTGCTTTCGTTAGCTTGGCTTCGTCTGGTGCCGTCGTTTTTGATTGGTTGCTCGCTCTCTCTGGTCTCGCAGCTCTGTTCACCTGGGGATCGGTCTGCCTTGCTCATATTCGATTCCGCGCCGCTTGGAAGTACCACGGTCATACTCTTGATGAGATTCCTTTCAAGGCCGTTGGCGGTGTCGCAGGTTCCTGGCTGGGCTTGATCCTAATCGTCCTTGTCCTCATTGCCCAGTTCTATACCGCGGTTGCTGCCCCCGTTGGCCAATCCGGTCTTGGCACGGTTGAAGGGTTTTTCAAGTCATACCTAGCCATGCCTGTCGTGCTTTTCTTCTGGGCTTGCGGTTTCGCGTGGAAACGCACAGGTTGGCTTACTATTGCGCAGATGGATGTCGACACTGGTCGTCGTGAGCTTGACTGGGAAGAGATCAACGCTTATCGGGCACGCATTGCCGCCTACCCTGCTTGGAGACGTCTTCTTCATCACACATTCTAGAGTCTCCTTGCAGCATTGGATGTGACATTATCGAATTGTCGATTGCGTTGCCGTCACTGGTGTCTCGGCGGGTAGAAGATATCTACATGGCGCGACCTTTCTTTTCTCGGCGCGCTATATATTGACCATCATTAGCTGTACATCCTTTTTTCTTTGATACCACTTTATGAAGATGAAATGAAGAGAGTTCTCCTTGCCACCTTTGGTCCATGCTTCGTTTGTCTGTCATTGGTGCGTGGGCGGAGTCCAGCAAAAGCCACCACAATCCACTTACTGTAGCCGAGTAGCGAAGGCGGGAAATATCATGTCTTGCTCAAAGATTTCTTCGATCCAAGTGCGTATGTATACTGCACCATGGCCAATGGAGCTGAGTAAGATCGACCGCGCTCAAGATGGGTGGCGACGGGCTTTTGAGGTGGAAGGAAGACTGGTGCTGCGACCCGCCAAAAACTGCCGTCAAGCCCGCTGTCACGCCAAATAATCGTCGAGGCTGCGCGCCCTGCATGTCAACGCACGATGCGGGTCCCTGGAGGAAGTAATTACCAAGACTACCTACCTAGACTACCGAAAATATGGGTTTGGGCGTTTTCGAAGTGTGAAACTCGGCTGCACGCGCATGGTCTGGATTTGAAAGGCAATGCGACCAGGAACCAGACTGTTGGGCAGAAGCAATAAGCGCAACGTCAACCTTCGTACATGTGGTTACCAACGGTCCAGTTCTACACAGAGCTTGCCACCTTATGAATATGCTCGCTGATTGCTTTTTTAATCTAGATGCCTTGGGTCATTCTTGTTCCAATAGCTCGCGAACATCTGCGACAGCCGTTCTAGCCACATTCTTTAGCAAACTGCGATCATCAGCTTCTCTGTATCTATCCCACGAATCAAGACCCTCTTTTGCCTGGATACTCAAAGTTTCGTAGCCTTGCTTGATGACATCTGTCACTTGCGTCGTTGTCAAGTTGCGAGGTTTCTTCTTCCCCCCGCCGTCGGTCAGTAGCTGCTTGTAATGCGTGCTGACATTGATGAGTGTGTCAATCGAGCTACCAATGCGCTTGCCTAGTCCGTAGTTTTGTTTGAACTTGGCCAGAACCTCACCACTCTCCACAATCTTGTAGAAAAGATCATCATATGCTGCTGGGGTCGGGAGAAATGCCTCGCCAGCTGAGAGCGACAGCGCAAGCAAATTAACCACATGATCAACAAGAGTATCCACGTGAGGCAGGTCTTTCAGGTCCGACGTGTAAGTAGTAAGAAAACGAACTAGGGAGAGCAGAGACCTGAAGAATTCCGCCCAATGATAGTGTAGTCGAGTGCGCGATCGCGATACGTACGAAATAGCTCGAAGCAGTATGCCCAGACAGAGTGTGTATAATGACACATCGAGTCGCTTTCTGAGATTATGATTGATGCCATCAATCATTGTGTCTAGAAGAGAGCATGCCAAAACCCGTTCCGCTTTGACGAGGGGCAAGAACGGCGGCCGGTGCCGACAGAGGCGGACGACCATCTTAGATTCGTCGCTGCACAGTATCTTGCAGGTGGCCTGGTCTTCAATAAGAAGCCGAAAAACCATGAGGTTCAAATGCGCATAGTATGTAGACCGATGCGAAAGATGAGCATGCTGAAGAAGGTAGGATGTGAGGGACAGATATGCTGCCATCGGCTGTTCAACTCCCTTTTCGCTAGTGATGGTGACAAAGTTGGTACAGAATAGTTTGTTGGCGTGGCTAAAATCATAGGCAGCTAGCAGCATTGCAGCTCGCTCTTTCGGGCTGGCGTACGTCAGAAAAGGGTCTTCGTGTGACGAGGAGGAGAACTCACAGTTTTGTAAACATTTGCTTCGCGGTATCGGCATCATAAACCGGCTTCTTTTCTTGTTTGGGTCCTGGCACAATAGCACCAAGACCTAGCATTCCAAGTGCGTTAGAAACCGTCCATCCTTCTGGTAGATCATCCTGAACGTTAATATAATCGGCACGAAGCACCTGACAAGCCGCACCAATGCAGGTGACAATGGTTGTGATCGCCCCTTCGTTGATGAAATCGTTTAATCGTAGCTGATACGGGTTTTGAAACTCGAATTTGTTGTAGTTGGCCAGCAAGCTAAGCAAGATTAAAGGCTCTAGAACCATAGCTGGCGACTGGGTATCTTGGATGAACTGTGGCGTGGTGATCAGTAAAGTGCCCGCCGGGTAGGTACCCTCAGGACTCACCTTTATAACAGCGGGAAACAAGTCTCGTTGTATCATATATGTAAGTAACGTCGTTTGGTATGCACCGGCTGTAATTGCCAGCAAAACAACGATCGCTTTGTGGCGTATTTCCACTGTTGTATGATGAGCACTCGGGCGTCGAAGCAGAGTATTTCGGACAAGGTACATACGGTTGTCACCGGCCCGAATAACAGTGTCTAGAGTAGTGACAAAATCAGTGAAGACAAGATCGATGCGGTCTAGTCCGGCTAGGACCGCAATGTTTGCCGAGCTCGGATGGGCATATCTTTTGGTCAGGACGCAGGACAAAAAAACCTTTAGCGTCTGGGAAGAAAGAATTAGCCATTGCCAAGGGTTCACATGTATGTCGCCGGACTGACATCCAGGACGTTATGCGGCACATTGCCACTGCCTGATTTGAGGGCATCAATCGCCTCGCCAAAGAGCTCCTGTGACTGCCCCTCCAAGAGCAACATGTCGGCGGGGGAGATGTCCCGCAGCAGCTGCCTCAAGGACACGAGGTCCGGCTTGAGGAGAAAGAATTCCTTCCAAAAGCCCTTAGATTGTCGTCCCTCTTCGACATCCTATATCGTAGTTCGAGGTCAGTCGCGTCGCAAACGTAGTCGGGTACTTGGTAGCCATCCGAACCTATTTGTGCCAGGAGCAGTCAGCGACTGTGAAGCCGGAGGCGTTGCGCAATGGCTTACCTGAAAGAGCTCAGCATATAGCTGATTGATTTTCGGAGTGAAGACCTCTGGCTGAGGCTGCCGAGTGAGCGGTGACGCCTCCATGAAACGTTTTCGTTGACACGCAGTTGTCCGCTTGTGATGGGTTGTGCGATGAGCTGGGGATAGAGGTCCAATTGAGTGTACCAATCAGGCTAGCTCGAGTGCTGTTTTAATTATCTGCGTCAGTGTCCGCCAATCATGCCACTTTCTGCGAGTCGCCCGTAAAATAGCGTCGTGAAATTGCCTGAATGGGCCATGAGCTTTGTTCAAGTATATGTAGAGTCAAGAGAGTGTAACCTGCTTTCCTAATAACTCTTTGTGTTTTCCTTTCTATATACCTTATGTTACTTTTTCTTCCCTCTACGCTCCTCATCTCCTTTGCGCTCAATATTCTCTGTGTTCCGTCAGTAATTACTTGTTCATGCCCCCCCCCCCCTTCCCTTCTTTTAGTAGCACTGTGTGCCTACTGCCAGTTGATTTCAATCGCACTGTGGACTGTAGTGCCATCCATCATTCGTTTTTCCATGTATGGAATGTACGGCTTTGAAATGCTCACTTTGGAACAGCTACGGTAATTTTTATTAGTATGGTCACAAATCCTCAAGATGAGGCCGATGGAAGCTACCACTGGAACCCTGATCTGAGTTAGCGAACATATGAATCCCGTCTAGACCTGTCACCGGTCATGCGTAATAGTACATTCGGTCAAGCGGTCAATGAGTGCCCGAACCCATTTTAGATGAACTAAGAAGCCGCACTCTACGGTATCGGCAGCGTTGTTAGGTACCATAGGTCATACTAAAGATGGCAAGGGCATGTTTATTTGGCGTCGTGATCCTGATAGAGTTTGCGGGTCGAAGTTTTCATATGAACATGGCTGGCTGAAGTCAACCCTGATCTACCCTACAGTATGGATGCTCCAGTGATATGATCGACAGTGATCAAATTGATTGTATTCAAGCAGCAGCATTTAAGCTCTAGCGACCATGTTCTCTTGTTGTTGTAGGTCATTGCTGCTGGGCTGTCTATTACGCACGACCGGTGGCATTCACTATTTACCTGTTGGTGAGCCCTTCGTCGGTTAGCAGCAGGATAGCAGCATCTCCTCAACACCGAGTCTTGATTACGAAGTAAATGTTCTCTCCACAACTATGCCTGCCGCCCGCAGAGGGCCAGTAAGCCACAGAGGGGCGAGGCAAGCGTGCCCTAGCTTTGATCAGCAGTGGACGACTGCACCGTTGGCTTGCCAGCAGACGAGAGAATACGAGAATAACACAAGACCATCTCTTATCCTGCCAAATTGTACGGATTACGCCTATCAGACCAACGCGGCTGCATGAGCGCAAGGCTTGCGTCCGTGTTTCCCCTGGGCGGCTTTGTCGGGCCAGCCCGGGCAGCGGGCCGCCTTCAACCACGGCACAAGATGATAAGTGATAGCGAACGCAAGTTTGATTCGTGATCAACCTTTGCAAAGACTGGGAGAGGCAAGAAGTGGAGGAAACGAGGCGGTGACGAGGAGGGGCTTCGCAAATTTAGACAAAAGGAGTTGTACCAGTAATAATGATTGAGAACAGGGGCTCCTTTTCCCCCCAAGAACTTGCGACTTTTGAGCAAAGATGTCAGAGATATACAAAGTAATTGTTGTAAACTAGTTTGTTAGTTGATTACAAAAGTCGACTACGCGCGCACGGACGCTTCACACTCCAGGATCGACACAAGTTTTATGCCCCTCGATAGTTAGTCGAATATTCTACAAGGAAACGGAGTATTGACTTTCACAAATTAGGTTTGCCACGATGCTTGTCTGCAAGGCGAACGACAGCCGTGTCCGCCCAGGCTCTCTCTGTTCATGAAGAACTAGGGTTGCACGGACATTTCACAAGCTCTTGCCCCATATGCTTGGCTAGCAACTTCTTCAGACATCTTTAAGATTGAGAATCGAGTGTTTACCTCATCAACCGTCAGTCATCAACATAGGAAATATGCAGCAAAGGTTGTGTCTTCGCCTGAAGCCAGTAAATCGCAGCCATGACAGCGCAACTATTCAAACTGCCAAAGAAAGACCTTACATGCAAATATTGATCAGGTTCAAACGGCGTGGAACACCACGCCGACGCGGTATGGCATACTGGCAAGGCTTCAATGACAGGGGATGCAAGCAGTTGCAAGGGGGTCACTTGCGCACGGTTGCTGCGACGGATTAATTGCTCCCCACACGCGGATGGCGGACTCTGAGCCGGGAGATGCGAGCTATGAGTTCCTGGCAACCTGGCTTGGAAAGATGATGGAAAGGTGGCGGTGGCGACAAACCTGGATTCAGGACATTAAACTGAGTTTGCAGGGGCTTGCTCTGCAATCACATGCAAGGTGAAAAAAGGCCTTCTTACCACGGGATAGTGATGCAGTCTCCAGCAGGGTTTCTCAGAAGAAGGGAGAGATCAGGAGGCGACGTTAAAATCGAGGAACGTTGACGAAAGGCCACTATCTGCATTTATCACTTGAATTTATAATCCGTACCGAGTAATAACAGGAAATAGATACATGATCAGCGGGCCTGAGACGTCACAAGGGCGCCGTGACCACCATGCGAACATATTCAGGTACTAATTGAGACGTTTTTTTTTTTTTTTGTTTGCGTGGAAGAGAAAACATCCGATGCGATCGACAGCGCAGAGCACAGAGCAGGATGCCCCTGTGCGATTCCTGTTTTTGGCGAAACCTTTATCAAATCATCGTCCTTTGTCATCAACATCTGCGTGGGAACCTCTGCACATAATTTTTTTTTTTTTTTGGGTAAAGTGACAAGATGATCATTAGTTATTCTGTCTCGAATGACTCGAGCATCGGATGAAATCCTCCCGTCCTTGCCGGCGAAGCCGCTTTTTTTGGAGCAGTAATATTTCGAGAAACGGGACAGGCGCCGTTTGAAATGCGTGGGGGCTATCATCATTTTTGCCAATGGCCATTATTTACGAGATACGCTTGGCAGCTTGCGCGCCCTCTGGCGCGTCTCGTCATCTCGTCAATCCAGACAAAGACTCAACTGCCAAACACACGCTAGACATTGCCATTCTTGAAGAGAGAGGGCAGAGAAATCACACAGTGTCACGGTAGTTTTTGATTGGACTGCTCATTTTTAGTACCAAGCATGCTGCCAAGTGAGACACCTAACTATCCGAGACAAAAACGAGGTTTCTGTTGGAATCCAATTCTTCGGCAAATATCAGATGTGATGCTCTTTCAAAAGAAGCGTTGAACTAGGCAACTTGCCGTTGTCTGATTAAAATAGTAGACCGAAAACAGTTGAGGAATCCGAATAGTCTTGGACTCCCACTTCTTTCGTCACCTGCAGTGATTGACACAGGGATGCGAATAGCAGAGGTGGAGGAGCTGCATGTCACTCAATCTATCGAAAAGGCGTATGGGTATTCAAGCAGCGCCCTAGGCGCAAAGGTGGATGCAAAAAGCTGTGTATGACGAGAATTGTATGTACAATAATAGGAGCCGCAGCAGCAACGAACAATGCATGCTCGAAATCCCTTGATATCAGTAAAGCTAACAGGCTATTGAAACAAGCATCTCATGCAAAGAAAGCGCCACAGATTGCTGAAAGGTTTCTTCTATTTAAATCTCACTGTCTTCTATTCAACAAGAGTCACCAGCGCCAACAGTTGCACAAACCGAGCACGGCAAGCCTCTATTTGAAATACCTTATCATGATGGCACGACGGCGCAATGACCAAACGTACTTCTCATCCATCTACAAGATGTATAGTGGACATGATCAGCATCTTGCTTCTATAGCTACTGGAATGCGCGGCTGTCAAACCATGTGCGTCTCTGTTGCTGCGAAGGACTTGATGTGATTCCACGAGCACAAAGAGATAGCCACTGCCACTGTTGTTCATTTTCATCATCGGACTCTACCACACATGTGAATTACTTGCTTTGCATTATTCTGCCGTGATGCAGAGACATTGAGGTAACCTGACGTAATTACTGTGCATATTGGACAAGGAGTCATCATTCGCGCCGTGGATCCTCCAAGGGGGAAGGTGACGAATTGCCGAGTCATCAGAGTCAATGCATGTACTCCGTACGCTATTCCAGATAATAATTGCCGATGATATATAGCCTCATGCATGCAAATCGGCATCGGTGGACGCCGAAGCTGCAGTGCAGAAAGGCAGAGCAGCGACTGCACTGCAATGCAACATCACATCCCCACGCCCCCAGCAGTTACTGTTTTCATAGAAACGACAGCATTTGAATCAAACAGTTCATAGGTCAAAGAAGATATACATCTGTTTTCGGGACCAAGGAAGCGCTGAATCTCGTCAATCACACTTCCCCTGATGCGGCCCGGACAGAGCACAGACACCTCCGAAAGCAGCGCCGGATGCGACACGGCAAGTCCAATCAACACTCTCTGCACTACGGAATTGCTTAATGATAGGTCCAGAAGCTGCTGCGCCCCCTTGATTGATCATGATGAGGTGCTGACGTCGATTGTGCGTGCATATCGTTGCAGCTCAGCTCACCACTTGCACGCGTGCATACTAGACAACCCCCCCCCTCCCCTCTTGTTGCTCGGTTCGAGATCGGCCGGCCGCCAGGTCCCTGGCCTGCGTGCCTGCCAAGGGCCCATGCTACTTCTTTAGCGGCACCATTATTTAGCTCGCTTATTAGGAATTTTCTCCCTCCATTCCTCATGTTTGCTTCGGCCGTTTCCTTTTTTTTTTTCTTGTCTTGGTGCACACGGCTCGATTGCCGGATTAGTGAGGAGGGGGCGTACCTAAACAATGAACCAAAGCAGCCGTGATGAACTCAACAGCTGGCCTGTGCACGCGCAGGCTAATACCACGTCAAACATGTACTGTAAGACTGTTTGAGTTCTCAGCAATTCCGAGATTGCGACACGCGATTGACAGAAACAGTTTGGTCATGCCAAAAGGCAAGTGAGTGACCAAAAAGACTGCTTGTGTAGCTGATGAGTTTCATAGCGATGAAAGAACACCCCCAACAGCTATGAACTGATCTTGATGTCGAAATTCGACCAAGAA